CTAATCACGTCCATGTGTGTTTAATTTGTCTAACTAAGTCATTCTATTTACACAAATTATTTAATCAAGTCTCACTAGCATCAAATTTGGTCAAATTCAATCGACGTGGCCGTCAGAGATGTCGGAATATGACATAGATTGAATATTGCATATGTGGTCACCCCTCATAAATAGTGAATGGTGGTAGATACCATAACATGTTTGACCAGCTTCGGTTTTAAGCTAATTCTATGAGCGCCGACAAATGTGCAATATTTCATCCACGTTATATTGCGGAGTTAGTCTGGTGGCCTTGATTAGAAGAAATTAAAGTATAAAGCCTTAATTAAAAAGGTAGAGAAAGCACAGGGATGAAAAGTAGAAGTTTTCCGTAAACATAAAATAAAAAACAAAAGTGAGCTCAAACGAACATTATTTTAAGCTGAAAATTGAAACAAAAACTTCTTGGTATGTAATTTAATATTTGAACGTAGAATGTGCTTAAGCTATACAGCTATACGAGGGGACCTTTCATATGACGCTCACTTAAATATCATAATTTTTTTTTCGATTACTTAAATGCAATAACTTATGTATAGCGCTCACTTGAGTGCCATAACTTTTTTTTTTTCCAATCACTTGAATGACATGACTTTTTAGAAAAATTCATTACAAGTGTTATACTATGTCGGATTTTCGGTACTTGGGTGACATTTAAAAAAAAACAATTGATACTTAAGTGATCGATTGAAAGTTATGGCACTTAAATGAACGTTTTTTTAGAAATTATGACACTCAAGTGGTCGAAAACAAAATTATGATATTCAAATAAGCACTATACGAAAGTTGTAACACTTATGATGTCGTTATTCTCTTTTCATGCTTCATATTAAACAACTTTATTGTCCTTCAATATTTGTACCATGCTTGTCGGTCCCACTGACGTCGGATTGTGTTGGAGGGTACAAATAAATAAATAAGGATTTTCCGTCTTAGTGAGGTGGAAAACCCCACTAAAATGAACAGGAAGGACGAGACTAGGTGATATAGGTCTCCCTTCGCCGAACCGCCACTTTTGTAGGCCACTTCAAGGACACGACACTCTCTTGATCACTCGTGAACTCTAGGAATCCACTGAAAGGGCAGAGAGATAGACAAAGGAAAAATAATAAGGGATTACACCCAGGAATAAAACTTCATTTAATAAATAAACTGTGTTTACAATGAGGGATCAAGAGGGTGTTTATAGCTAGGCGGTTAGGATACCTTTGAATATAACATCCAAGTTTATAAAAGATAATCTACCTAAAATACGAAATTCAATTAAGCAACAAGATTATCAAAATTTTGATCGAGATCAAATCATTCCTTAAAATATTGTAAACAAACTTACAAATCAAGAGCACATATTATTTACCTACTATTCAAATCACGAGAGGATCTTGAAATCTTCCAATACGGATCCGAAGTACTTGCAATACCAATCTCCCTCTGTTGGAAAAGACTCGTCCTCAGGGCCAACTTCATAAAATTACACTCTCCACGAAGCTCGCTTTTGTAACTGCTTGATTTCCTTAACTCTTTCCTTCCTCACTTCCTCATGTATCCCCTTGATTTCCTGAGCTCTTTCATCAGCATATCCACTAAATTGACGCTTAGTGGGCAGTGGTGTAAGATCCAAAGGGCTTAAAAGATGCTTTTGAGACACAACTTCAAATGGGCATTTTCCAGTAGTTTGACTGGCCGAATTATTATCGGCAGATTCATCTTGAACCAATAACAAAACCCAATGTTTAACATGTTTTCCAATAAAAATCCTTAATAAATTGCCCAAAATTCTATTAATAGCCTCCGCTTATCCATCGATTTGAGGATCGCTAGCAGAACTAAACTAAGGTTGAGTCCCCATTTTTCACCATAATGAATGCAAAAAGTGATTCATAAACTTGACATCACTATTAGAAGGGGGTTGTTTTTGGAATACCATCTAGGCGCATAATTCACCAATATAAAACTCAATAACATGTAAACTATCAAGGCTCCGTGACAGTTATTTACAAATTTTTTACCATACAAAAACTGTCCCGGAATCCCCTTCCTACTAATAGCAACATTATCAATCACAATGCACATGCGATAGTGAAAGTGTTGAGCAGGTTTGTCTCAATTTATAAAGTTTAATTGACATTCTTCACTTGTCCTATGAAAAAACTCACCACCTTTATCTTTTGCGAGATGCGCCTTCGAATACAACTTCATATATAACATTTCAATTCTTATTCCTTAAACTCCCTTTCACTTAATATTCTCTTCGTCCTTTAGAACAATGGGCTATAATTTTAGAGAGTTCATTGAGAATTTACCATACTGAGAATGTCCAAACCATTAAGGAATGACAACTCATTGGTAAAGGCATCTTGAGAAAAAGTAGTTAAAACTTAATTGAAAGAAGGCGCAAAAAGACTCATCATATATTCAATGGATGTGCACCATAGGGGTTTAAAAACTTGCACATGAGATCCACTAGATCAAGATTTCAAAATCCATCAATGCATGTACACTATCGATACACACATATATATACACACACACACAAATGCAAGGTATAATTGTAGTGGTTGTATTAATGCTGATATAGTAAACCTTGAGCTCGTAAACTACACCGACATATATGTAGCTAAAAAACAAAAACTAAGCAAGACGGCTTGGATTGGGAAAATTACCAAATCAATCCTAAACCTTTTGCATTTGTGCTAATTCAGTCTATCTGATCAATTTTAGTCGGCCTGCGCTAATGTGGCACAGCCGGCGCTGACGTGGATAATTTTTAATAATATTTTTCAATTTTTTTTTTCAAAATTTTCTCTTTCTTTCTTTTTTTTTTCTTTTCCTCTTCCCTTGGCTGGTTGCCAGACGAGCCAGAGGCTAGGGCCGGTAAGGTCACCTGCGATGGCCATGGCGAGGTCCAACCTCGCCACCAAGAAAGAGAGAAAAAAAATCAAAAAATATATAAATATATTAAAAATTATCCACATCAGCATCGACTGACTAAAATTGGCTGGATGGATTGAATTGACACAAATACAAAATGTTTAGGACTGAATTGGTACAATTGCAATAGGTTTATGACTGTTTTGGTAATTTTCCCTGTCTTGGATTCTACTATTTTTCATTTTTTTTGTTATATATATAATATATGTGACCATTTAGGCGTACAAAATATGCCATTTTTAAAATTTAAAAAAAAAAAACGATCGACCAACTACCACTTCCTAATAAGAGATGACTAGAAGAGATTCCCGACCTTCCACCGCCTCTACGGGATCTACAAGCGGGTGGTTGCCAATCTCTAAATAAGATTCCAGGTGTTAGCTTAAATTCATGTGATGAATTAGTTGGCCAAGGATTGACCGTGGCTCACGTGCGCCCAGTGGAGGTTATGGGCTCTCTCTCTGTCTCTCTCTGAATTGCGTGTCTTTTTTTCTGCCCGTATATGTTTTGGAAGTGGCCACGCCGCTCTAGTGCCTGGTGATATTATGAGTATTATTCTTTTTTACTTCCCTTTTGGCAAATTTACAAGGATCGCTTACTAAACTAATATTTAAAAAAGGAGAGGGAGTGCTCAATCTATACCATATGATCAACTGAATTCTGATCACACGTGGCTTGAATGATGATGATCAAGTGCTTTTTATTCAAAAACTCAAAGCCAGATTTTGGATCAAATATATATATCTCACTTTTTTTCTTTGTTCGTCTGGAATGTCCATGTAAGTTGGTTTTATTATTCTTGCAGGGCCTTGTAAACTTGAAGTTCCTTAACATGAGCGAATGCCAGTTGCTGCTGAGTATGCCGGATCTCAACTGTACTCCAAATCTCGAGAGATTAAATCTTCGTGGGTGCAAAAACTTGAAGCATGCCCACAAATCAGTTGCGTATCACGGCAAGTTACGGTGGTTGGAGTTAAGTAGGTGCTCTAAATTGCGAAGATTCCCTGAGATTCCAGATAAAAACAAAAGTTTGCAAATGCTTTTATTAGACGAGACTTCAATTGAGGAACTTCCTGCATCCATAGGAAATCTTATCTCTTTAAGGCATATGAGTTTACAAAAATGCAAGAAACTGGCATTCATTCCGTCTAGTATTTACAGGTTGCAAAATCTTTGTCAGCTACATTTTTATGGCTGCTCAAAACTAATAAAGTTTCCAAAGGTGGAGGCTTTGAGTGATCCCCATACGAAGACAGGATTTCCAAAGTTACATTGTTTAAGTCTCGGTAGATGCAATTTGTCAGAAGTAGAGTTCCTGGAGAATGTTTCCTGTTTTCCCCGCTTAAGAGAATTGTTTTTGCGGGGAAATAATTTTCGTAACATTCCTACATGCGAGAAACTATATAACTTGGAATGGTTGGATGTTTCTAATTGCCAACAACTACAAGAGATCCCCAATATTCCGGGGAAAATGAGTAGAGTAATTGCAGCTAATTGCGAATCTCTGAGTAGAATTCCCTCCAACATATGCGAAGTTAAGGACGTTGAGTTTCGATCATGTCATGAATTGGTCCGTAATGGATATTGCGTGAATGATTGGTTCAAGCCTAAGGTTAGACACACTCTCTCTCTCTCTCTCTCTCTCTCTCTCTCTCTCTCTCTCTCTCAGATTAATATGGAGTCGTGTACGTGTTTGCTGCAGTGAGTGTTTGTGTATTGCAAAAGGCTGGAAAATCTTGCACTGGTGGGCTAATTAAAAAAAGCAGGCATATAGATCTACATGAATATGTGGTGGAGGTTGCTATAAGGCAACGCTAAAGATATTCTCTTTATTTATAGAGCTGTAGTTCACTGCTGTATTACAAGGATCACCCAGTGAAAAACTTTAACAATACACGTTCATCCAGTTACAAAATCTTCAACAATACATGTCCCGTTTCCACCAATTAAGTGTAAAAAATATTTGTAATGATATTGCTAACTATATCTAAAAACTCTAGGACTACCCACTTAACTCATCGAAACTCCTCTTTTTGGGTGCCAATTTCAAGAAAAAACTATCTAACAGTCTACATCTGTGACAGAATTTTCATCACAGCAAATACCAAATTATTCTACCTAGAGAGATGCCAACGTATTCGCCACTTCGTCACAGCAATTACCAAATTTTTCTACCTGGAGGAGAGATGCCAAAGTGGTTGATCCCTAATAAAGAGGGTTATATATCTTTCGTGACTTCAAAGGACTTGTGTAAGAAGATCCTAAGCGTAGCTTGCTGTGTTGTGGTTTGTTCGAAAGAAGTGGGGTGTTTCGGGTTGTTAGCTGAGGGATTCGTTAATGGCAGGAAGTGTGACTGTGGACGTGTGACTTTCCGCGATTTATCTATTATTTCAGATCATTTGTGTCTTCATCTTTGGGAACCAAAGAGCCTGTGGAGAGTGGACGATTTTGGTGCTAATGACATGATTCATTTCCACCTTGGCCTTAGTTTAGGAAAATATCCAGATAGTAGAGTAACTGTGAAAAACTGTGGATTCCGACTATTATGTAAGCCACTAGAGAATGATTTGGAGGTTTTACTTCAAGACAATCAGTTGCTGGATCCAGCATTACTCTACGAAGTTGGGTATGAAGATAGTCAAACAAGCTTAGAGGAAGAACATCCAAGTGAAACAGAAGATTTACAAGATAGTCAAACGAGCACCAAGGAAGATAGTTCAAGCGAATTAGTCTACCAAGGATTGAACATTGCTGACTTCTCAATTGAGGTATCTCTCTCTCTATATATGTGTGTGTTGGGCGCACTGTGTTTGTATAATGCAAAAGCTGAAAATTCTAGACACACAAACAAATCTGATATAAAGTGATTCTATAAATATATAAAGCTAAATAAAATCTCACAATGACACAATGTTCATAATTCCTATATTAAAAAATAAATGCTAAAATCTAAGAAAATCTAACAAACACTAGACACGTAATTCTTGCTATTACAGTTGATCATAACAACCGACACAACTAATAGTACTGGATCAACTCTATGGATCAAAATAAAACTGCACAACGACAATAACTCAATAATTCGACGTGAGAATTTTTTCACTCTCGGGTGTTTTCTGTTTGTAGAGTTGGATTAAGTTTAAATTTTTTTTTGCAATGAATTCGTGCGCTATAATATTAAGCCAATATTATTTGTCTATGTCTTTAGGGTGAGCATATCTCTGTTCACTCTTAGGTGCTTTGCACTTCTACGATCAAATCCAAAACAATTATAATCTCACAACTGTGAAAAAAGAATGTTAAATTTTTAACCATGAAAACGTTACTGTCATGTTAAGGTAACTGAAAACGAGATTATAATAATCGAATCTACGTTGATTTTTTAGGCAATTTGGTAAATCTTTTCAATGCACCCCGTGCAGTGCAATTCCAGCTTCAGGACCGCCGTGGTCACCGGAGGCTGAAATGTATCGCCATTAAACAACACACAAACAAGCTCAATTAAAATACTTATATAAAAAAAGAATAAATTACTTAATATACACATTTTGTGAGTCAATTTTAATAAGTCTAACATCATTTTCTAGTATAACGGATAAAAGTTCTAAGCAAATAATTCATCCCTGGATTGCCAAAATCTCACTTTGATATAAAAAGAAAAAGAAGACAAGCAGCATCAATCGATCAAATCGAAGTTATCAAAACAATAATCAAAATAATGGGGCGAGACAAAATGAAAAGGCGTAAAAGCCCAAGAGCCTCTCTTTTGAGAATCAAATCTGGTTGGATTTTCACGAACTTTAACATCGGATAATTGCTGAGCCTAATCGACATTCCTATGTTTGAGCATCACAACTTAGTTTCATCTACTAAGCTCGAAGAAGAAAAGGTACACGAGTTGCTATTGTGATAAGGAACCATCGCACAACCTTGCTAGGTGCGGCACATGGGGATTACCTGGGACAATTTGCTTTAGTTTACTTAATTGAGAGTATCGGATTTAAGATGTTCCTTCTATATAAAGTTTGAGCAGAAGTTTTTCCTTTTCGATTTTCCATTGATATAAATGAGAGTAGAAATTTTTTCTTTTATTTATCCTAATAATGTTAAGTTTGTTGCATTAAGTAAGTTGGAATTCAATTAGATCAGTTTGTACTGAAAAATCAGCGATGTCTAAAGTGAACACATAATAATGAACATTAGACTGCCGGGTCTGACTAGGATGATTAATTTCTTGGATATGCTGTTCTATTTTCCATCGTTTTCACTTCCTATATAGTACACTCGTACAGTATGAGCTACATTGTAGGGAGATGTCAATGTAATATTAGTGGTGGCTACCACACTTGCTAGGGAATGATTTTTATTGCGTGAGTAATGTATATAACGCAAGCAAGGATCAATACGTCTAATTATTATAGAACTCTAGCTTTGGTTGAATTACTGGGAATATGTTCAAAATCAAATTCTTCATCTTGAACTAATTACAAAATTGAGTACTTCTAACAATTTAGCCATACAGCAGAAGCATCGCTATTCCCAGATTGATCCTGGCTTACGAAATATTCGCCCTGGAGGAGAGATACCGGAGAAGTTCGTGCTTGTTGAAGACGGTACAATATCTTTCATGGCTTCACAGGACTTGTACGACAAATTCATAGGATTGGCTCTCTGTGTTGTTTTCAATGTAGAAGATGGAAAAAAGCAAATATCTTTCGACATCGTGCCACATGTTCACGGCCGAAGGCGGAATGCGCTATCAGGAACTCTTGGTTTCTTTGATTCAGATCACATGTGGATCCAGTGTCTCCAACCAAATATGCTGTGGGGGGTGCTGGGGGGAGCAATTGATTTCGATCAATTCGAGGAGAGCTATTTACAATTTAGCCTTACGGTTCGAGTATCGGGTGGAACCGTGAAAAAGTTGGGATATATGCTAAGATGCGAGCGACTAGAGGATGATTTGAAGGTTGTGCTTGAGGAGAACCAATTAGTGATTCCAGCTTCACTATTTGAGGAATCTGATTCGGAGGATATTGACACTTCGCCTTACCTGAGCAATTCGCATAAAAGATACTTGCGATACTGTCGCAGCGCTGACCGTATTATCGGACTGGAAGGCAGTGACAGTGAAACAGATTAAATGGGAAGAGGCGAGTGGAGTAGTGTTGGCTTACAACTCCCAAGGAAGCAATCATCAAGCCAGCGAAACAAATTAGGGGTCGCACATGTTTCTTGATATGTGAATGGATAGAGGGTGACTTGGCAGTTGGCAACCAACATTCATAGCCAGGGTGTTTGTTTTCCATATTTCCTTGTCGATCGGATCATGATCTCACTAATAAATGTCATGTTCTGCACAACATGCTTTGCTGCATGTCGTTTACCGATTTCAGTGGCGTTAGCGTATTCTTGTAATAATCTTGAGAAGTCGGCACTTTTAATTGAACACTACAGATCATTTTTATCCCAACTGCACCTACTGGCTACCAGGAACACTGTTCCGAGCATGGTAATTTTCTAATACATCTCGTAGATATTAAACCCCGTTGGTAAAATTAAATAGCTGGCGACCTAGTGGTCAGATATGCTCATAATAATTTACCGAAAATGTTAGCAACTTACGGACGTGAAATGGAATGATTTATTATCAACTTTTTTCATATATTTACCACTCAAAGCAAAAATTTAACGGCAAATGTATTTACCACATAGTTCCGTTTTCTTAAGGGAGCAAGTGATTGCCAAAGTAGGGAATTTACCGACTTTAAGTGAAAAGCAAATCATCTACTTATTATGTAGATAGTTACTGCTCGAAGCATAAATGTAAGGACCCGGGGTCTACACTGTGTAATATTGTCCGCTTTGGGCCTACTGACCCTCACGGCTTTAAAACGCGTTACACAGAATAGAGAACCCAAGCCTTATAAACTAGTCCAAGCCTTATAAACTAGTCCAAGACTCCCCCCCTAAGCGATGTGGGACAAGAGACATGCCCCCCATTGCCATCCTAGAAGCCTGCCAGGAGCCGCTCCTTGTCCAGGCCCTCTGGCCCCAGCGACCACTCCCCGCCCTCGTCGGACCGGGTCGTTACATTCTCCCCTCCTTCGAGCACAGCGTCCTCGCTGTGGCCCCACACGCGGTCGGGAGTCGGCTCTGATACCATTTGTAACGACCTGGGCATGTAACGACCCGGTCCGACGAGGGCGGGGAGTGGTCGCCAGGGCCAGAGGGCCTGGACAAGGAGCGGCTCCTGGCAGGCTTCTAGGATGGCAAGAGGGGGGCATGTCTCCTGTCCCACATCGCCTAGGGAGGGAGTCCTGGGCTAGTTTATAAGGGCTTGGGAAGCCTTAACTTGCAAGAGGCCTTTTTTGAGGGTAGTATGGGCTGTCCTCGGAGGAACAAAACCGTGAGGACTTAGTGTCCAAAACGGACAATATCTTGCAAGTGGGACCCAGGTCGTTACAAATGGCATCAAAGCCGACTCCCGACCGCGTGTGGGGCCACAGCAGGGACGCTGTGCCCAAAAGGGGGGAGAATGTAACGACCCGGTCCGACGAGGGCGGGGAGTGGTCGCCGGCCTTTTCTGAGGATAGTATGGGCTGCCCTCGGAGGAACAAAACCGTGAGGACTTAGTGTCCAAAGCGGATAATATCTTGCAAGTGGGACCCAGGTCGTTACAATAAACTTAGCAGTGAAATCAGCAACTTACCAACATAGTCCGCTTACAAACTAGTTAGTTATCACTAAAGTAAGGAATTTGCCATTACAGATAAAATCGAAGTTAGTAAATCATCGTCGGATTAAGTAACTTGCCAATGTAGGCCCACTTTTACTGTAATATGTTACCAATAATTTTGAGGAATTTAAGAAAGCCAAATTCAACAGTAAGTCGTCAAAGCTGTCTAGAAATTTGCTATTGGAAGTAAAATCTTACTATTCAAGTTAGTAAGTCGTAAGCTGGACGGAGGTAAAGTAGGAGGAGTTGCGTGGCCATTGGATCGCATCATAAGCTGGACACGTGTTGTCCATCGGGTAAGGGGACAGTACGGGGTACACTACGAGCATTGCCCTTGGCCATAAGCCAATCATGTCACAGAAAAAATACAATATGGCCACATCTCGTATAGAAGTTTTCACAAGATACGTTAAGGATTTCTTACTCAAAATTTAAATTATTAGGAATGACCGTAAATAAAGACTCCGTTTATTTCGCGAAAAATTAATAAGTCGAAAAATGTTATCCTAAAAGAGATCGCCTGTATCGCATGAAATAATTAGTCAATAAAAAATATTATTATTATTGTAAAAATAATTTATGTCTAAACATTTTTCATGGACGATGATAATATTTTTCATTCATTTATTTTTGTACATGATACAAGCGGTAGTTTATAGGAAAATATGTTTCAAATTATTAATTTTTGTGAAACAAAAAAGTACTAAATATGATTATAAGAATGTTGCGAGCATATGCCGCTCCTACCAAGATAGAGCCCGCTATAGTTGACATGTCCACCTCAGAATTCAAATTGGGAACAATATTTATTAACAAGAAATTGTTTGTGGGCAATTGGGGAGGTTCCTTAAGAAGCGAAGCCCGCGTGAAGAAGCAACAGAGACTCTTGGCTTGTAATCTGTTGTTGGGTCCACTTCACATAGCGTTGAATGAAGTTCATGCCCTGTTAAATTTCATCGACAAGAAAGAGCGACCAATCAAATCACACCCTAGCGTTGATCAAAGCATATGATTAATTTTCAAAGATTGATGAAGGAATAGTTTAATATTATTGCGTGAATTTATTCTCATGAGATTTTGCTCATTCGCTATTCAGAAAAATAGTTTTATAAGTATAGCACGACGCGAGAGCACAAAATAAAAACTTGAAAGAGAAAAAAGAACGATGCATCGAATACAACATGTTTTGATAGTAATAGAATGAGCCTATCTAATATCTTCTATCATATGATATATGTTATGATGGCGATTCATTTCTTTCAAATTCCATTTTTAGTACGACTCCTTTTTACTCCTTTAAAGCATCAATGAGGTTTCTGCCTCATTTTAAGTTCAAAATCTTCAAGATTACAACAAGAGGGTGACTCTCTCTCTCTCTCTCTCAAAATGAAGAATGTCAACAACAGCAATACAAGGCTCATCCTCCTCCACCCTTACATCCAGAAGCAAGGAAGCTCCAACTTCAATTTATTATGAGGGGGATTTTCATCTTCATCTCTTCCTGAAATTCTCTCAAACTTGCCATTGGTGTAGACACCTTGAAATTGTTTGTCAATGCCAGAATGTATTATGAGGGGGATTTTGCAGTTAAAAGAATTAGTCCTCCTAAGTTTTTTCTTTTCCACCTTATCCCTCAAGGCATTATTGTCTTGCTTGACAAATTGCTTCAATGTGATATGGCGATTGACATACCCACGAACAAAAGAATTCATACTTCCACTACTTTGCGTGGAAGACATTTTCGCCCAAAAACTGCCTTTCACACAAATGGAAACTCAACGATATCGCTCATTATGTGAGTATGTATTGACCATTATTAGATAGAATATAAATAGACCAAGTGTTTTAACTTCCCAAAGAAGGATCAATTCATGCAGGCTTCTTCACGAACTAATCAATCCTTTATCTAATCAATTCTTGCGGACTTCTTCATGAACTAATCAATACTTCACACTAATCCATACGTAATATCTTTCATACGCCGACAATGTATGAAATCATGCACTATCACCTCTTATTTTTAGTAATTTGTATGATGTTAACTCCAGCTTCATCACTAGCATGGTAGTAATATTAAATCAAAAAAGTTTCTTAAACCTTATACTTGTTAAATTTCTTAAAAATTTTGGTGTTGAAATTTTTACAATCGCATTATCTAAAAACGAAACATTTTACAATTTTCTCCCAAATTTTGTAATGGCATTGAAATTCCGATTCTCAAAGTATTCTTTTCTCTTTTAAAAGGTTTTTATTTTCAGTTCTTAAACCATGAAAAAAAAATTCGACCAAAAAAAAAAACCACGAAAAAAATTCAAAAGAAAAAACAGAAGAAGAAGAAGAAGAAGAAGGTGTGCAGTAGTATCCCTAATACGTTCAGACTGATACTTCTTCAACTTCCGAAGCAAAATGGCCGTTCGACGTCTTCTTCAGCTTCAGAGGCGAGGACGTTCGCCGCGGCTTCCTCCCTCAACTCGACGGGGCTCTGCTTCATTTAGGCATCAACGCCTCCATCGACAGCGAGGACTTGAGGCCCGCGCTCACGAATCGCCGTGCTCGTCTTCTCCGAGAACTACGCTTCGTCTGGGTGGTGCCTTGGACGAGCTGGGCGAAGGTAATGGAATGTAAGAGGCTCAAGGGACAGCTGGTGTTGCCCGTGTTCTACAAAGTGGAGCCGAGGGAGATACGAGGGCAAAGAGAGAGAGAGTTATGGCAAGGCATTGGCCAGGCACGAGGAGAAATTGGGAAAGGGTTCTGAGAAGGTGAAGAAGTGGAGGCAAGCCCTAATTGAAGCTGCCAATTTGTCCGGTTGGCATTATGTCCATGGGTAATCACAATATTCCTGTTCGACACTGTCAATGAATATGAAATTTTCTAATCTGATTGACACATGATGGCATCGATTAGTGCGTTAGAGTCATGTTTTGGAATGTTGCATAGTGATTGTTTACTTCGTGTTAGTTTTAGTTAGTTCAATGGTTCGTAGATTGCCATTCATTCCCATTCCCCTTTGCTACTTTGTTTTGGCAGAGATAAGACCAAGTTCATCAAGAGCATCGTCAAAGAGATCTCCACTATAGTAGGGCGAGTACCCTTGAGTGTTGCCAAGTATTCTGTAGGTGTAGGTTGCCGGGTAGAGAAAGTAAATTCGTTGTTAAGTACAGACTTGGATGACGTTCGGATGATAGGAATATGGGGCACTGGAGGTATAGGGAAGACCACTATCACTAAAGCTGTCTATAACAGTATCGCTAGTTAGTTTGGTGGGTGTAGCTTTCTTGCAAATGTTAGAGAAACTTCCAGTAAACCTGATGGCCTTGTTCATTTGCAGAAAGCACTCTTATACGAGATATTGTGGAAAGAAAATTTAGTGGTCTTCAGTGTGGATGGAGGTGTTAATTTGATACGAGATAGACTTTGTTGTAGGAAGATTCTGCTTGTGCCTGATGATGTGGATCATGGGGACCAGTCAAATGCATTAGCTAGAGAATGTGAATGGTTTGGAAAAGGGAGCAGGATCATTATTACGACAAGAGATAAACATGTACTAACTTCTCACTGGATAGATCAAGTAGATGAAGTCAAAGCATTAGATCAAGGTGAAGCTTTTGAACTTCTCAGTTCATATGCTTCTCCAAGAAACTAGATAAAAGACATAAGCAGGGATCTCATAGATGATATTTTGGGCTATGCAAATGGCCTTCCCTTAGCGATTGTGTTGTTGGGTCTGTTTTTATGTGGTAGAAGCAGAGGGCAATGGGAGAGTACATTGGGTAAACTTGCTGAAAGTCCTAATAAAGATATAAACAGTGTTATGAAGATAAGTTTTGATTCGCTGGAGGACAATGAGAAGGACATTTTTCTTGACGTTGCTTGTTTCTTTAAGGGGAGGGACAGTGATTAAGTAACGAGAGTTCTTGATAGTTGTGGTTTAAAGACATTAATTGGGATTCAAACTCTAATGGAGAGATCTTTAATAACCATTGAGAATCAGAGAACAGTACAAATGCATGACTTGATTGAGCTGTTGGGTCAGGATATTGTTAAACAACAGTGTCCAGATGACCCTGGGAAACGGAGTAGATTATGGTGCTATGATGATGTTTTTGAAGTATTGTTGGAGGACACAGTGAGAGCTTCTCATGAAACCATTGATAATCTTATCTTCATTACTTTGCACGCTATTACCTAATGGGGTTGGGTAACAATGATTATTTATTTTTCCTTGATGGGGAACCAATGCTGTTAAAGGCATAGTGCTGGACTTGCCAACACAAGAAGAGCTAGACATCAGTCCCAATGCTTTGACACATATGAGGAGACTGAAATTGCTCATAGTTCTGAATGCACAAATCAGTGGAGGTCCCATATGTCTTTCTAACGATTTAAGGTGGCTTGAATGGCCCGAATATCCTTTATCAACTCTGAAATTTAGTGCTGGTCCAAAGAAACTTGTTTGGCTTGATGTGCATAACAGCCGAATTAAAGAATTAGGAGGGAACTTGAAGGTACATCATACATGCTTTTTTTGATGATTATCATTTTAGGTGCCTTTAGCAAAGTTTTGATCGAAATCTTATTCAGCTGTTCTTTTTAATTTGCAGCATTTTAGAAATTTGAAGTTCCTAAATTTCAGCCGCTGTAAGTCCCAGATTAGTGTTCCAGACTTCTCAGAGGTACCAAATTTGGAGACATTGAACTTAAGAAGGTGCTCAAACCTCAAGGAGCTTCCAAGCAAACTGAAGCTGAAATATCTTCGAACACTTGATGTAACTGGCTGCTCTAAGCTCGATAAGTTTCCTGATATTGAGGAGATGGAGAGCTTAAGAAAACTTTATATGTCTCAAACTTCTATAAAAGAACTTCCTACATCAATTGAAAAACTAATCTCTGTTAAGGTTTTGCTTTTGAATTCATGCAAATGTCTTATCAGTCTTCCTTGTAGCATTTACAAGATGCAAAGTCTAGAGCACCTTTCTCTTGAAAATTGTTCAATGTTTGGTTTGTTTCCAGAGAACAGTGAGAGTTCCAATCTCCCTAATGGTAGACGTGGATTTCCAAATCTGGTCTCCTTGAAGCTTAGTGGCTGCAATTTGTCAGAGGCTGAATTCCTTCAGAGTCTTACCGGCTTCTCTACTTTAAACATCTTGGATCTCTCAGGAAATAACTTAGTTAGTCTTCCTACATGCATTAGCAAGTTTGAGGAGTTGATGGTCCTCAAATTATATGATTGTAAGTAGCTAAAGGAGATCCTAGAGCTTCCACCAAATATTTGCACCCTTGCATTATCCAGATTCCTAAAGTTGCCTATTCGGTGCATTCAGTCCTCCATGTCAGTGTACGTTCGCTTAGATTCATGTCATGGATTGGTTCATGAAGGTATCGACCTGGCTAAGATTTTATCACTTGAGGTCTCTCTCTCGCTCTCTGCCACCACATGCATGAGCTGGTGTGATTCTAATTTTATAGATTTGCTATAGCAGGATGTTCATGAGATGGGTCACTACATGGATACTATACTTCCTGGAAGAGACATTCCATGTTGGTTTATCCAAAGTCAAGAGCATCCTATCTCTTTCTGGGTACCCCAACATTTGCATGCAGAAATCCTTGGATTGGCTTTGTGTGTTGCTTTTGAATTGGAGGCATATGAGGCTAGCGCTTCATGTGAGGTTCGAGTATTGGGGAATCATATTCAAAATAACTATGATACAAGAACTTTCTCTTCGTTACAGTCTGATCACTTGTGGTTTAATTATTTTCCTCTCTGTTCATTTGATGAACTGGATGAGATGCTGTAGATTGAGTGGAGTCTTTTCCAAGTTTCATTTGAAGTATCGGAAGCAACACTGAGAAGGTGTGGGTTTGGCCTTATATGCAAGCAAGTGGAGGATGAACTAAGGGTTCTATGCCAACATGAATTGCCCCTAGGAAGTGCCTCAAGCCTTAAAGACAATCTCAATTATCAGAGATATTCTTGAATCATTGAACAAAGGTCCACCTCTGGATTGCAGTCAACTTTGAATATTTGATTCAATGCTTACTGTAATCTGTCACATTTGCTAAATGATTCCTTGCCCTTCAATTTCAACAATTTCAGTACTTGTGTTGTTTCCTGGCGAGAGTGGCCGTTTTGTCCATTTACTGATGGGTTTCTAATGGAATTGTCATATGTGACGACCACAGTGGCTGTCACATCAAGCAACTTCATCTAGGTTTGTCATGAAAGATGGATGGGTAGGACATTTGTTGATTTGGCTAGTACTAATGCTAAATTATGGAAATTAAATTGCGAGGGATTACATTGCAGATGTCCAAAAGTATACACATAAACCCTGCATATTATTTAGCAGTCACAAATTTTAAACTCTTTGCAGCCAAATTTAGCTTGAGGCAGTTGGGAATTATTTAAATGCTGAGATATACAGGGATATTGAAATAAGTTATGTAGGTCTTGTTTTTTGGCCTCAATGTAAGTATTATTTGAGTCACTACGATTTTGTGCTTTAAAACCTGCTTCATTTTTATTGCTCTTTGCGCTTCACTCTTGGGGATCCTATAATTTCTTCCAGATTGCTTGTTGCATCACAAAATAAAGAACCAGTGTCAAAACACAAGCAGACTGAGCATTCTAGCTCTTTACTCTCTCTTTCATATTTATGTGTACATTACTCTCTTTCAGTTTTCCCCTTTTATGCTAGTCAGAGTGCTTAAAATACAAGATTATAGAAGTAATGAATTTGATGTGTAGGTGAGCTGTAGGTGAGCTTTTCCAAGTTTCTCAGATGTATCTCTAAGTTTGTTTTTAACCAAATTAAGGCAGCAGGTGTTAATTTTACTCTTCTGCAGGGATTTCAGATGTTCTGTCTTGATGGAAGTTTGAGCAAGTATGAGGCTGACAAGTTCCATATGTTTTATTTCACAAGTATCAATTGTGTGAAATCTCTCTGCTTTTCAATAAATTCATGATGTGTATACCTTCAAACGCTCTGTATCGTATTGAAATGCCTTTCTATTTTTCAGAATGGTATTTCGCTGTGCATCTAAATCATTGCCCTTCTATTTGCCATTTTTTTGTCTTGTTTTGTTTTTGTGACAGGGTGTGGGATTACTTATATAAGAGGATATTCTATGAAGGATCGGAAGAAAGATCTTGAAAGTAAGAGGTGTCTAGAGCAACGTTGATTCCTTCAATTGCATTTGCAAGTTGCATTCGTGGGTAGAATCCCATCATGAAGTTGGAGCATCTTTCATACTTATTGTAATCTGTTGATTATCTTAGTTGGCATGCCATCCTAGTGTTGGCACGTGCAACTTAAATTGAGAAAGGTTAAGGGACATGACTCGCAAAAAGGGCGCATTCTGATGTTCTTGAAGTAGAAGTATTTTGTAGGAAGCGTTTGATTGAGCCTGTACTGGGTCTGTGTTTCTCTATCTCTGGATGGGTTGTTAATGGGGGGTATGCTCAAATCTACATTTGTTGGTTCTACAATTGTAACAAATATGGCTACTTCATTTCACTCTTGATAGTTATGTCTTCTCATTTCCTAAATAAAGTATTTTCGCCAAAAAAGATAATCTGTGCAGAATATATCCCTAATTCAATTAACCGTCAGACTGTTGTCAGCAACACTTATGTTACCGACATTGCGATTATTCTCATTTTTGTACTACTTTTGGGTATCTTCTCTTTTTTTGTGGTCTTCTAAGATGGTGTCCAAGTGGTAATTAGTAAGTATCACGTTTTCTCCATCTCATCCCTAGGTTCAAGATCCAATCCTTTGCTGCAAGTTTGGTTCGTAAGAACAACTATTATATTTCTGATCTATTCCTGATAAAACTGTTTTCTCTTTATTTGGTTCGGAAATAGATTAGACATGGTTATCCTTTCAAAATCAGAAATAGTTATTCCTTGAGGAGGCTAAAGGGTAGCTATTTCCTTGCGGTCAGGAGTAGCAGGATAGTTTCACTTCTTATATTCCAAACTTGCATTTTCAACAATCAATTGTGTTTAGAATAACTCAAAATTATTAAATAGGGATTTAAGTAACCCAATTATTTACTGTTATAGTTTATCAATACAACAAGAAACACTTGCTAACTTCTCTCGCTGTAAACGAAATATATGAGGTCAAACCTTTAAATCGCACCGAATCTCTTGAGCTCCTTTGTTGTCATGCTATTAGAAGCAATGAGAAAATGGAGATGAGTAAGGGTTATGGTGCATGACGTTTTGAGGTATGCGACTGGGCTTCCTCAAGCGCTTGTGGTCTTGGGTTCTTTTTTGTATGGCAGAAGCAAAGAGCAGCAGAAGAGCGCATTAAATAAACTTGCAGAGCATCCAAATGAATCGATCAATAGTGTCCTGAAGATAAGCTTTGAGGCCCTAGATGATCTACAGAAGGAAGTTTCTCTCAATATTGGTTGTTTCTTTGTAGGGAAGGATCAAGATAACATGAACAAAGTTCTTGATGCATGTGGCTTCGAACCAAGCATTGATGTGCAAGTACTCGTTGAGTCGAGAGGTCTTTGATAGGCATTGAAAATAGGATGATGCAAATGCATGACTTGCTTCAACTAGTGGCCAAAGATTTTGTCTATCCAGAATGCCCTGAGGAGCCATGAATGCAGCAGGTTGTGGTCTAAGATGATATTCGTGAAGTACTGGCATCAGATACGGTAATAGCGGTGTGTCTAAACATTGCGAACGTCTAACATGTTGCTGTTAACACAATGATATTTCGAGGAAGAAAACCACGTTCCTCACTTTTCTGTATTTCTTCTTATCAAGTTTACAATGACCTAGAAGCGTATATATATACAAAGAAAAGAAAGAATCTTAAAAAATATATCCTCTAAACTAGCTAACTATAATCCTTGATTCTAGCTAATTACAATCATAAATATATTTTACAGCTCATTCTCACACTCCCCCTCAAGTTGGTGCATAGATGTCGTGAATGCCCAATGTGACATTCCGAATTTTGGCCCATTTTTGGGATTTATAAAACGGGTATTTCGTCAGTGCGCTTATAGTAAAAATCTCGCCCGGGAACTGATCACTCCCGGTTATTATTTTTAAACCTTGAGATTTCGCTAGAATCGCATTCGATCGAATTTGGCCGTTATTTAGACCCTGACCTTGGCAGTCGATTTTCGAGAGTTTCGGGACGAAATAAATTGGACGGTGTCGATATTATTGTGGCCAGCGTCGAGGTGATTAGGAATAGTGAGAAAGTGGATTTTTGGACCGGGTGCGAATTTGGCTAGGTAGACCTCCCTCGTAGTGTGTTTCGAGTTATTTTATTTTGGCCCGTTGTCTTATATTATTGTTTGGGATTTTTCGGGGACAGTTAGATCTTTTTCCGGGTTTGAATCGCGACAGTTAGAATAATATTTAGTTTGAACCGTGTCCGTTGGTTCGCGCTCAAGGATAAATATTAGCTTTTCTTTCTCTCTCCTTTCTCCTCTGCGCCGCGCCACCCACCCCCCTGCAACGTCCCCTCCGCGCACGTCTCTCTCTCTCTCTCTCTCTCTCTCTCTCTCTCTCTCTCTCTCTCTCTCTCTCTCTCTCTCTCTCTCTCTCTCTCTCTCTCCTCCCTCTGCCGCGCTGAGCACGTCCCCTCCGCGCACGTCCCACCCCCTGCCATGCGCACGTTTCCCCCCCCCTTCCCCATGCAACTCTCTCTCTCCTCTTTCTTTTTCTTTTCTTTTCCTTTCTTTCTCTCTTCTCCGCTTCTTCTTCCTCGTTGGCTTCTTTTTCCCCCGACCGGATTCTGCTCCGCCGTGCCTCGCCGCCGACCGCTGTTCGACCGCCGTTCCGCCTCCGTCCAACGCCACCCCACCCGCCCGCCGATGCCGCCGTCCTCCCCGCGCCGTCGTCGCGCAGCCGTGTCGCCCGGTAGCCTCGCCCGACCCTGCCTTCTCCTCCTCCCGAACGCGTGAGCTCGGCTCGCCGCCACCGCCCGTCTCGGCCCGTCGCTGCCCAGCCGGCCGCCTTGCTCCGCTCTGCCGTCCCGGCTCGCCGTCGCGGGAGCTCAGCCCGTCGCCTTCGCCGCTCGTTTGTTCGCGCACCTGGGAGCTCGCCGATCCCGAGCTCGTCCGTTCCGTGCCGTCCACCGCCGCTGCTGCGAGTCACCGCCTTGTCGCTCCAGCCCGTCCCAGTCGTTGCTTGCTCGCCGGCCGGCTCCTCCATCGCCCGGCTCGCCGGCCGGCTCACCGCCCCCATCCGCCATCTCTCCCCCTCAGCCCCGATCCCTCTCTCTCTCCCTCACCCTCACCCCCCGGCTCACTCTCTTTCTCCCCTGTTCAGCTCGTCGCCGCCGCGTCGCCGTCGCCGCCGGTCGCCGCCGCGTCGCCGTCGCCGCGGTCGCCGCCCGAGCCAGCCCGGCCGCCGTAGCCGGCTCGTCGCCCACGCGACCAAGCCGCGCGCCCGTCGCCGTGCCCGTTCCCGCGCCCGTGCCCGTGCGTGTGCCCGTGGCCGAGGGCTGTGCCCGTGGCCGAGCGCCGTGGCCGAGCTCGCCCGGCGCCGTGCCCATCCGACCAGGCGCGTTGCCCATCCGACTAGGCGCGTCGCCCGTCCGTTCGCCCGTGCGCCCCTTGGCACGCCGTTCGGCCATCGCGCCCGCGCGCCAGGCACGCCGATCGGCCATTGTGCCCGCCTTGGCCGGCCACCGCGCCCGTTGGCCCGTGCCCGCGCCCAGTCCGGTACTGTTCACCCGGGCCATTTTGGGCCCGAGCCGACTTTTCCCGGGCCAAACTTAGGTAAGTGACTTCCTAAATCTTACCTAGTACTTTGGGTATTTTTAGACTTGTTTAGGGTGAAATTTAGTACCGGCTTAGGAATTTAATTAGGTATGGGCTAATTAGACTGATTGTGTTTAATTGGTGAATTATTGTGGCGATGGTTGTGCGGCTAATTTAGTAATTGACTGAGATAGATATGCTTGACTGAATGGTTGTGGCGCTTGTGGGTGAATTGAATTAATTGAATGTGCCGACATGAATGTCGGGTCGGTGGACTGATGTGGGGAGCATGAATTGAGTTGACTGATGTGGCGTGCTAGATTGACATTGGTGAAAGGGTGGTGATTGAAGTTGATTTATATGACTAAGAGCATGGTGAATTTTGTATTGTGGTGCATGTGCATGAGAAAAGCCCGGCTTGATCTGAGGGCTGACCTGAGGCGCAGTAGCGCGGGTCGTGGGAAAGTGTGAAATGTCCAGTGAGGGACGAAGCCCGGCTTGATCTGAGGGCTGCCAACCTGAGGCGTGGTTACGCGGGTGTGGCTAGAAAGGCAAGTACGGACCTGAGGCGTGGTTACGCGGGTCGAGAGAAACGTCCTGAGGCGTGGTTACGCGGGACTGAGCCCGGCTTGATCTGAGGGCTGCCAACCTGAGGCGTGGTTACGCGGGTGTGGCTAGAAAGGCAAGTACGGACCTGAGGCGTGGTTACGCGGGTCGAGAGAAACGTCCTGAGGCGTGGTTACGCGGGACCGAGCCCGGCTTGATCTCGAGTGGCCGCCAACCCGAGGCGTGGTTACGCGGGTGTGGCTAGAAAGGCAAGTAAGGACCCGAGGCGTGGTTACGCGGGTCGAGAGAAATGTCCTGAGGCGTGGTTACGCGGGACTGAGCCCGGCTTGATCTGAGGGCTGGCCTGAGGCGTGTTGACGCGGGCCGTGTGAAAGGACCTGGGAGGTCGTGAGAAAGTTGCTCGGCCACGCATGCGAATTGAGTGTGATTGAATTGACTGGTTGAATTAGTTGGAGTGATTGAGTGAAAGCGTGGTTGGTGTTTGAGCGACTTGTGATGTGTTATTTAATTAATATTATTGCCTTATCACGTGACGACTAACGTGTAGAGTTGGCATGGACTTGATGACGAGGTAAGTACAATTATGCTAATTTTATATGTTATGGGGTAGATTGCATGTATGACTCGTCTGGGTACGCATTGGCCTACGTGGGGTTTAGGGGGTTGCTTATTGAGACTCGTTCTCACGGTTATTATATAACCATTTCAGATCCGCGACCGTAATCGATTCGGAGACGCCGCCAGAGCACCACAGGGATTGAAGAATAGATCATTTACCCTGTCTTTTGAGTACCTTTTGTAGAGGAGATAAGTTTGTCAACCACCGCCCCCTTTTGAAAACCGTGGTTCTATATTGGTAGCCCGAGTTATCGTTTTGTATAGTGACTACCTTATGATGGTATGCAATTATGTTTCGTACTATCCCTTTGTCATTGTTTATTGTCTGGGTTAATTAGTTTCGCTTCCGCTTGCTTTTATTGTTGGGTGTTTCGTTTGGGTCGGCGACGCGTCCTGGGACGTCGCGTTCAATGATCGACCATCGAGGGATGACCGCGCGCTCGTAGGGTGCGGGGCGTGACACCCAACTTGTCAAGTGAGCTGTAGAAGATCCTGCTTGATACAGCCTTCGTCAGAATATCTGCCAACTGATCTTCAGATCGTACAAATGGAAATCGAATCACTTTGGCGTCCAAGTTTTGCTTGATAAAATGACGGTCCACTTCAACATGCTTGGTACGGTCATGTTGAACTGGATTATGAGAGATATCAATTGCTGCTTTGTTATCACTGAACAACTTCATCTCGGCTTTAGGAGCGAACCCAATCTCTGACATTAACTTCTTAAGCCATAGGAGCTCACACACCCCTTTGGCCATCCCTCTAAATTCAGCCTCTGCACTTGATAATGCTACTACTTTCTGTTTCTTGCTTCTCCAAGTAACTAAGTTTCCTCCCACAAAAGTGAAGTATCCTGAAGTTGATCTTCGGTCATGAACACTCCCGGCCCAGTCCGCGTCAGTAAATCCTTCGATTTCAAGATGACCCCTTTTTAAGAACCTCAAACCGCGTCCTGGAGAAGACTTCAAGTAGCGAAGTATACGCAACACTGCATTCATATGATCTTCACTTGGGGCATGCATAAACTGGCTAACAATACTCACCGCATATGCAATATCAGGACGAGTATGCGACAGATAAATTAGTTTGCCAACTAACCTTTGATATCTTTCTTTATTTGTTGGCACTTGATCTGGATACTCCCCAAGTCTATGGTTCTGAACAATTGGTGTGTCTGTAGGTTTGCAATCCAACATTCCCACCTCTGCCAATAAATCTAGCACATACTTTCTTTGTGAGAGAAATATTCCCCCTGTCGACCTCGCTACTTCAATTCCTAGGAAGTATTTCAACCCCCCAAGATTTTTCATCTCAAACTCCTCAGAAAGTTTCTCTTGAAGCTTAGATATTTCTATCAAATCATCTCCAGTGATAATCATCATCAACATAGATAATCAACATTGTAACCTTCCCTTGATGTCGTTTTAGAAACAATGTGTGATCTGAGTCACTTTGGGAATATCCATACCTCTTCATCGCCAAAGTGAACCGGCCAAACCATGCTCGTGGAGACTGCTTCAGACCATACAATGATCTCTCTAACTTACACACCGCCTCAGGCTGTGAGGATGAAGAATAACCTTGCGGAACATCCATATAAATCTCTTCTTCGAGATTACCGTGAAGAAATGCATTCTTGACATCATACTGGTGTAGTGGCCAGTCTAAATTAGCAGCAAGAGACAACAAGACCCGAACAGTATTAAGTTTAGCAACCGGAGAAAATGTCTCTTGATAGTCAATTCCGTAAGCTTGCGTATACCCCTTTGCTACTAGTCTTGCCTTGTACCTCTCAATCGATCCATCTGCTTTGTACTTCACAGAAAAGACCCACTTACATCCCACAGTCTTCTTTCCCTTGGGTAAATCTACTAGCTTCCAGGTCTCATTTTTTTTCAATGCAGCCATCTCCTCCTCCATTGCTTGAACCCACTTGGGATCTTTCAGAGCATCCTGTACCCCTTCTGGAATACAAACTGCGGACACGTTCGATATAAATGCCTTTACTGGGCCTGACAACCTTTTGGTTGACACATAATTTGCAATAGGATATGTACATCTCTTCTCTTCAGCATCCGGCGAATATCTATTTGGAGGCTTACCTCGATTGTGTCTAGCAGGTAATTTATATCCCACAGAAGTATTAAGCTCATCAAAGATACAAGAAGGAGTAGGAGAGGTTACCTCAGGAATATTCTCAGGAGTTGAGTCGGGTACTGGAGAAGAGGGAAGCTGTTCTTCATGATTTTGCTCCTGTAGAAGTTGGCCACCCTCAGATGATACCTCTTCTACTTCCTCAGACGATACCACCGCCTCATACGATGTCTTCTCCACACCCCCAGACGATACCTCTTCCGTCCCCTCAGACGATGCTTTCTCCACCCCTCCAAATAATATACTACCATGCTCTTCCGCCCCTTCAGACGATACTTTCTCCACTCCTCCAGATAATATACTACCAGGAAACTCCCACCAATTCGCCCTTTCTATCTGTATCTCCCCCTGAAAGGAAGAATGGGAACTCGGATAAAAAGATTCAGCTTCCACAAACGAGACATCCATAGTCACATAGGTTCGCCGGGTAGAAGGGTCATAGCAACGATATCCCTTCTGGTGTGTACCATACCCCAAGAACAGACATCGTAGTGCACAAGGATCAAGTTTCGTTCGCGATTCTTTGGGATATGAACAAATGCAACACACCCAAACACCCGAGGAGGTATGGTCGGATCAAGGTAAAGGCACATATGTGGACAAAGTCTCGTAGTGGTGTTTGAAAGTTTAACACTTTAGACGGCATCCGATTGAGGAGATGGACAGCTGTAGTCACACTATTGTCCCAAAATCTCTGAGGCACATGACTTTCAATCAACAGAGCTCGAGCTGTCTCAAGGATATGTCTATTCTTTCTCTCTGCCACACCATTCTGCTGAGGTGTTTGAGAGCAAGATGACTCATGAATCATGCCATGTTGTTGAAAATACTCCTTAAGGTATTCATTCATGTACTCCCCACCATTATCACTTCTTAGAACTTTGATCTGTCCACTAAATTGGGTCTGTAACATAGTATGAAAATTTCTAAATATCTTGGCTACCTCATTCTTACTTTTCATCAAGAAAAGCCATGTCATTCTAGTACAGTCGTCAACAAATATCACAAACCACCTACAACCCGAAACAGCAGTAATAGGAGATGGACCCCAAACATCTGAATGTATCAAAGAAAAAGGAGCTTCACTTTTATTCAAACTTATAGGAAAAGGAACTCTATGACTCTTAGCCAATATACAAGTCTGACATTGCAAATTTAAATCCTTCAAATTCAAAAACAATTCAGGAAATAATCGCTTCAAATAACCAAATGACGGATGTCCCAACCGTCGATGCCAAAGCCAAATCTGTTTTTCTCTACTGATGGATGTACTGCTAGCATGATTTGCACTCCCGGAACTGAAGTCATCCATATAATACAGCCCCCCTCTCTTAGTACCACGCCCAATTATCTCCTTCGTGAGAATATCCCGAAACAAACAAAAGTGGGGATACATTATAACAGCACAATTCAAATCTTCAGTAACTTGTCCTACCGAAATCAATTTGGTCAATAATGAAGGGACAAGCAAGGTGTTAGGAAGAGAAAAAGCAGGAGAAATCGCAACAACTCCAGCCCCAGTCACCGGATAGGTGTATCCATTAGCATTTGAGATACTGTCACGTTTTGGTTTTGAAGTATGAACAAAGTCATCAGGAGTAAATGTCATGTGATCAGTAGCTCCCGAATCAATAACCCAGTGATTGCAATCAATCTGATTAGAACTAACCAAAGCACTTCCATGGTTACCTCCTGACATCAAATTCTGAGGATCAACGTGAGGTATCAGTGACAATTGAGGCTCAGCAGTTGCTAAAGAAGCTTTCCCTTTTCCTTCTGCTTGCTTTCGAGCTTTCAACTCTTTCCACCAATCTGGATACCCATGAAGCTTAAAGCACGTCTCCCTGGTATGCTTAGAATTACCACAATTCGAGCAACCTCCCCCCGGAGAAATTTTCTGGCGTAGTGCCGAGCTAGGCTTTCCCCCTTCCTGCGTAACTCCTGGCTTCGCTATTTGCAACAGCGGTTCTTGATTTGTTTTGACATTCGTCCTATTCCCCGAGATACCATGGCTGCCGAATCATGGACCGTGTCGCCGTTGGTCGCATTACGCTTTGTCTCATGTCTTCTCGACGGACACGCGCGTAGGCTTCTTCAACAGTAGGAAACGGCCGCATCTCGCAAAACATCTCGCTCTAACCTTGTCAAGACGGTCGTCCAACCCATCAAGAAATATGTATACCCGATCTTCCTGTATAGCCATATTGTATCTTTCAATATCTTCAGGATACCGCATTGGGTTCGGACGGCGAAAGTCGATTTCTCTCCACAAGCCTTGAAGGTTGTTGTAGTACGCCTCAATTGGTCCTCCTCCTTGTCGCATCCGAGCAACACGCCTCTTCAAGTCATAAACCTGAGAGGCATCCGTTCCGTCAAAGAAAGTCGTTGCAATTGCATCCCAGACAGATTTCGCTGTTGGGAAGCGAATGAAATTGCCAATCAACGCCGAATCCATGGAGTTGATAAGCCATCCTTTCACAGTCGAGTCTTCTGTTTTCCACCTCCGAAAGCCAGGATCTGTAGGCAGTGGCTGAGGAAGGTCTCCATTGATATATCCCAGTTTGTCTTTACCAGTGATGTACATCTCGACAACCTGAGACCATAATCCATAGTTGGCTCCATCCAGTTTAATTGCAATTTGAGATGAAGCCGAATCATTCTGCGGTGTTGGTGATGGAGGAGGAGGGTGCGTCTGGTTCTGAGTGAGAATCTGAGTTAATCTGGCAGTCAGATTCTCCAAAAAGGCTTCCGTGGTCGAATTCCCCCCTTGGTTCTGATGGGGAATCACCGCTCCGGTAGGGTTCTGATCCTCCATGGATCCAAAAACAATCGTGACAAAGATGAAGAAGATCGAGTAGGACGCACGCCGAACGGCGCAATAGAGAAAGCGAGCGAAAAAGAAAAAAATATATATTCACGTACAGTACTCAAACAATCATTCTGCGGGACCGCCGTAATCGAGGATTCACGTACAGTACTCACAAAGAGTAAACCCTTGGCTCTAATACCATGTTAACACAATGATATTTCGAGGAAGAAAACCATGTTCCTCACTTTTATGTATTTCTTCTTATCAAGTTTACAATGACCTAGAAGCGTATATATATACAAAGAAAAGAAAGAATCTTAAAAAATATATCCTCTAAACTAGCTAACTATAATCCTTGATTCTAGCTAATTACAATCATAAATATATTTTACAGCTCATTCTCACAGTTGCAACTATAATGAACCAGTGAAATCTATTGAAGACATTATGGTGTGTGATTTTTTGGTAATCTTGGACTGCCGTATCTCTCTTTTACAGGCATCAAATACAATCAAAGAAATCGGACTGTGGGAGTATAATCCAGAAGAAGATTTGTACATTAGACCTGCTTCTTCAGCAAATTTGAAGGGGCTGAGATTGCTCATCCTTCGAAATGCATGATTTCCTGATGTAGCCGAGCAATGTCTCGCTCCAGATTTGAGATGGTTTGAATGGCTTGGATAGCTATCAACAATCTTGCCGACATTTTGCAATGCAGAGAAGATCGTGGGACTTCACATGCTGTACAGTCTTGTTCTAGAATTAGGGAGTGAATTCAAGGTATGTCCTTTCGACCAAAAAAGAAAAAAATTCAAGGTATGTCATCAGTATTGATAGGCTTAATAATATAATAAGCCAATGGGAAACTAACTATTGGATTTTCATTTTTAACGTTTTGCAGAATCCTAGAAATTTGAAATATGTTAAAGTTTGGTGAAAGCAGGTTTCTCAAGAAGAGTCCCTACCTTTCGATGATTGTAAATGTTGATAGTTTGATGCTACATGGATGTGTTCGTTTACTTGAAATCCATGATGAATCCATTGGGCATATGGACAAGTTTGTTGATTTCGATCGTGAATCTCGTTTAAGCATCAAGACTTGTCCTACTACATTGAAGTCAAAACATCTCGAATTCTTGCACTTGAATAGCTGCTCCCGTGTTTCGACCAAAAAAAAAAAATAGCTGCTCCCGTGGGTTTCAAAACCTGCGCATAGCACGTAAGCATATATATAGTGATTTGGAAAATAGAAATAAGACAGAACAAAAAAAAAAATAGAAATAAGATAGGTGATCCAAAAAAAGAAAAAAGAGAGAGAACGAGACCAAAAAAAAAATAGCTGCTCCCGTGTCGTGAAGTTCCAGACCATCTCGGCATAAATGGAATATCTGCTACAGAATTTAAATGGAAGGGCAGAACACGGAATTAGAGGATACCACGTCATCTCAGATGCTAGGGTCAACTCTCGCCGTGTACGCATCGGCCACATCCATAAACCATTCTGACCAAAAAACAAACAAGCCAGTAATCAGTGATTAATAATCACTTCCTTGTTAACCTCCTCTATTCGATGGCTTCTTCTTCTTCTTCTTCTAAGCCCAGAATGAGTTTCCGCGTCTTCCTGAGTTTCAGATACGAGGACGTCCGCCACAACTTCATCGGACATCTCTGCACAGCATTAGACCAGGCAGGAATATTCACTTACAACGACATTGACACCGAAGAATCATGGATGGGAGAGGATATGTCGACCACTATTGCGAAGGCCATCGAGGAATCCCGCATCGCAAGCATTGTTTTCTCTGAGGAGTACGCTCTCTCGTGGTGCTGTTTGAAAGTGCTGGCAAAAATCATAGAGTGCAAGGAACAGAAGTGCAAGGAACCGAAGGATTTGATTGTGTTGCCGGTATTTTACAAAGTGGAACCAGGAGATTTGAGACGTTGGCATTTCGAGAAAGCTGTAGAGGTGCATGAGTCCAAGTTGGGGAAGGATTCGGAGACAGTGAAGAGATGGAAGGCGGCTCTTTATTACGCCGGCGACCTGTTCGGATGGCGCTTGGGTTATGAGTAAGTAGTAATTAGGCCCCTAACTCTCTCTCTCTCTCGCGAACACACTCTCATCAGACGTTCAAACAGCACAGAGCACACTTTAGCAGCACACGAAACAGAGCACCGAGTTCGAGCCGTTCGTTCCCACCAATCCTCCGCAAATTATCGACACGCCGCCGCCTGAGTGCTTCCGTCCCCACGCCGCCCCAGCGGCGTCACCTCAGCCCCTCTCTGCCTCTCCATGTTAAGCGGCTTTTGGAGACGAATCAAGGGTGGTGAAGCCAGATCTGGGGTCTCAAGCCCGATCGGCGGTCGCTACCCTCGGGCGATGGTCGCCTGAGGCTGGTTACGAAGGTTGAGACTTGACGGCGCGACAACGGCTGGGACAGGAGACGGTGACAGGCAAGCCACGGTGGCGGGGACGTGTGTTAGAAATTAAACCAAATTTGTTAGTACTTGTTTCCTTTTTGAGTCTGTTCGTATTTCCATATTTTGATAGATATTGTGAGATATTATTTCTAGTTATATTTTAGGAAAGTTTCCTAAGTCAATTAGATTTCCTAATTAGAATAGGTTTCCTAGAAAGAGGTTTCCTATTTCGAATCAAACTATGGTCTGTATATAGTCTATTTTTCTTGTAATTGAGATATGCAATAGAAAGACGCGAATAGCGATTATTTCACCTTCAAAAATCCCTTTCATCAAATCAATATTGTTGCCGCACCTCTGACGCTCAACAAATTGGTATCAGAGCTTACGGTTCGTGATCATGGCCTCAACGAACAATCAGCTTCCTCTTCAATACCCTCGTCTTACCAAAGAAAATTATGGTAACTGGGCTGCTAGAATGAAAGCTCTACTCGGCGCCTACGGTGTGTGGGAATTTGTTAACACTGGCTATGATGAGCCAGAGGATGAAGCCACGTTGAACCAGAATCAGAGGAATGCCTTGGAGAAGGCTCGAACGAAAGATCAATATGCCCCGTCGATCATCTATCAAGCGTTAGATGATTCCATGTTCGAAAAAGTTTCGAACGCCACTACCGCTAAAGAGGCATGAGAGATTCTTCAAAACACACATCAAGGAGTTCAGAAAGTTCAGAAGATTCACCTTCAAACCTTGAGAGGCGAATTCGAGGTAATTCGTATGAAAGAATCTGAATTGATTGCTGATTATTTCACGAGAATTTTGGCAATTGTTAATCAGATGAAAAGAAACGGAGAAGAAGTTTCCGATGTTCGTGTTGTTGAGAAAATACTTCGGTCCTTAGACAAGAAGTATGATTATATTGCGGTTGCAATCGAAGAATCCAAAGACTTGGATGCCATGACGGTCGATGAACTTATGGGTTCATTACAAGCCCATGAAGAAAGGTTTAGAAAGAAAAAGATTGAACCGGTGGAGGAAGTTCTCCAAACGCAGTTGACCATACGAGATGAAAAGGAGCAAAGAAGAGATCCCGTACAAAATCACGGGACAAATCAAGATCATGATCGAGGTCGTGGCCGAGGTCACTTTCGAGGAAGAGGTCGCGGACGACGAGAGGAGATCCCGCTCGAAGTGATGGAGGATACCGGTACCAAAGAGGTGTTCGTGGAAGAGGAAAGAACTCGACAAGCCAATGGTATGATAAATCTAAAATCCGATGTTATCATTGCAATAAACTTGGCCATTATGCTTCTAATTGCTGGAACAAAGAAAGTAGTAGAGTAGACGAAAAGGCGAACTTGGTGAATGATGCTGATCAAGTTCTCTTATTGGCATTCAAAGAATATGAAGAAGGTCTAAGCGATACATGGTATTTGGATACCGGCGCAAGCAATCACATGTGCGGGAGAAATGACATGTTTGCCGAGTTAGATGAGACAATTAAAGGGAGTGTCTCATTCGGTGATAACTCTAAAATTCTTGTTGAAGGGAAAGGTACAATTTTGATTCGCTTAAAGAATGGTGCACGTCAGTTTATTACCAATGTTTATTATGTTCCAAAAATGTCAAGCAATATATTGAGTTTGGGACAACTTCTGGAGAAAGGTTATACTGTTTATATGAGAGATCTTAATCTTATGTTGAGAGATCGGAATAATAAATTGATAGCAAATGTGAAGATGTCGAAGAACAGGATGTTTATTCTTAATATAAAGTGTGAGATGTCTCGATGTCTAAAGACGTGCGTAGATGATCCTTCATGGTTGTGGCATTTGAGGTTTGGCCATCTCAATTTTGGCGGACTCAATTGGCTTTCTCGCAAGAAGATGGTTTATGGCTTACCACATATTGATCATCCCGATCAATTATGTGAAGGGTGTGTTATCGGCAAGCATTCCAGAACTAGCTTTCCGAAGGAGGCGACTTATCGAGCGAAGAAGCCGCTTGAGTTGATTCATTCTGATTTGTGTGGCCCGATCAATCCTCACTCATATGGTAATCATCGATATTTTGTTACTTTTATTGATGATTTTACTCGGAAAACTTGGGTGTATTTTTTGAAAGAAAAGACATAAGTGTTTGATATTTTCAAACAATTCAAGAACCTGGCTGAAAAGGAAAGCGGCTATTTTATCAAGGCTTTGAGGACTAATCGTGATGGAGAATTCACCTCAGCCATATTCAACAAATTCTGTGAAAATCATGGTATTCGGCGTTTCTTGACGGCCTCGTATTCTCCTCAACAAAACGGTGTGGCTGAACGGAAAAATAGAACCATTCTTGATATGGTTCGAAGCATGTTGAAGAGCAAAAATTTGTCCAAGGAACTTTGGGCAGAAGCTGTTTCGTGTGCCGTCTATCTTCAAAATAGATGTCCAACATATGGACTTGAAGGCGTAACTCCACAAGAGGCATGGACCGGGAGAACACAAAGTGTTTCGCACTTGAGAATTTTTGGAAGCATTGCATATGCTCATGTCCCGGATCAAAAAAGATCGAAACTTGAAGACAAGAGCAAAAAGCTCATCTTTATTGGGTATGACTCATCATCCAAAGCCTATCGATTATTTGACCCTAACACTTTGAAAGTGTATGTAAGTAGAGATGTCAAGTTCGATGAAGATGGAATGTGGGAAGAAAATCTAAAAGAAGAAGCGAATATTCGTGATGATTCCGATCAAACGGAGTTGAAAGATCAACCTTCACCTTCTTCTCCAACATCTTATTCAAGTTCATCAACACCATCCTCTTCAAATAGTGTCGATGAACCGCTAGTGCCAAGATCAAGAAGATTGTCTGAAATTTACGAAGCCACCGAAGAGCTTCATCTTATATGTCTTCTTGCAGATTATGAACCACTTGCTTATGATGATGCGGCCAAAGAAGAAAAGTGGAGGAAAGCCATGAACGAAGAAATTGAAGCCATCGAGAAAAATCAAACATGGGAGCTTGCTAATCTTCCGAAGGACAATAAATCAATTGGTGTTAAATGGGTGTACAAGGCCAAGAAGAATGAGAAAGGTGAAGTAACAAGGTACAAAGCTAGATTAGTAACGAAGGGGTACAAGCAAAAAGCCGGAATCGACTATGATGAAGTTTTTGCCCCTGTCATCCGCATGGAAACGATTAGATTGATTATTTCCATTGCTGCTCAAAATAATTGGCGGATTTATCAAATGGATGTCAAATCAGCATTCTTGAATGGCATCCTTGAAGAAGAAATTTATGTCGAACAACCCGAGGGGTTTGTTGTGAAAGGTTATGAAGACAAAGTGCTAAGGTTGAAGAAAGCTCTATATGGGCTTAAACAAGCACCGAGAGCATGGAATTCCAGAATTGATGCATATTTCAAGGCGAATGGATTCTCTCAATGTCCATACGAGCATGCACTCTATTTGAAGCAAGAAAAAGGTGATATTCTACTCGCCTGTTTATATGTTGATGATCTTGTTTTTACAGGAAATAATTCGGCGATGATTGATGCTTTTAAGGCATCGATGGTGAAAGAATTTGAGATGACCGATAATGGTTTCATGAATTATTTCCTTGGTATCGAAGTGAAGCAAAGTACCGATGGGATTTTTATTTCCCAAAAAGGATATGCAGAAAATATCCTTGAAAAATTCAACATGAAGAACTGTATGCCAGTCAATACACCAATGGAGTGTGGAACCAAGCTTTCGAAGTTTGATGATGGTGCCGATGTTGATTCGACATATTATAGAAGCTTGATTGGAAGTTTGAGATACTTGACATGCACGAGACTGGATATTATGTATAGTGTTGGAATTGTTAGTCGATACATGGAGAAGCCGAAATCATCTCATCTTAAAGCTGCAAAGAGAATACTTCGGTACATCAAAGGTACTATTTCTCATGGTTTACACTATTATTGCTCTGAATCTTTCAAACTTAGAGCTTATTCGGATAGTGATTATGGTGGAGATATCGACGATCGAAAAAGTACCACGAGATTTGTATTTTTCTTGTGCGACACTGCTTTCACGTGGTCATCAAAGAAGCAATCAAGTGTTACTCTATCGACATGTGAAGCTGAATATGTAGCTGCATCTTCATGCGTTTGTCATGCAATATGGTTGAGAAGACTACTCAAAGATATTCTTATGGAGCAGAAGAAAGCAACGGAGATTTTTGTTGATAATGTTTCTGCTATTGCTTTGGCGAAAAATCCAGTTTTTCATGAACGAAGTAAACATATCGATGTTCGATATTACTTCATCCGAGAACAGGTTAAAGAGAATAAAGTTGAAGTATTGCATGTGAAGACCGGAGATCAAGTAGCAGATATTTTTACTAAACCTCTCAAGATCGATGCTTTTCGAAAGTTCAAGAGCCTGCTTGGAATGATCGATGGAAGAGAATTTGGTTTAGGGGGGAGTGTTAGAAATTAAACCAAATTTGTTAGTACTTGTTTCCTTTTTGAGTCTGTTCGTATTTCCATATTTTGATAGATATTGTGAGATATTGTTTCTAGTTATATTTTAGGAAAGTTTCCTAAGTCAATTAGATTTCCTAATTAGAATAGGTTTCCTATTTCGAATCAAACTATGGTCTATATATAATCTATTTCTCTTGTAATTGAGATATGCAATAGAAAGAAGCGAATTGCGATTGTTTCACCTTCAAAAATTCCTTTCATCAAATCAATATTGTTGCCGTGCCTCTGACGCTCAACAACGTGATGTTGGGGGAACGCGATGACGGCGGAGCAAAGGCGGAGGGGAGAAGAGAGGGGGGTGAGTGGCCAATGGAGAGGCGGGCTAGCCCAGGCCCTTTTTTGGTTTTTCCAAGTAATTTACAAACTAAGTTCTACCAAAATACCGACCAAAAAAAAAATTCTACCAAAATATATAAAATCCACAAAACCCAAAATTTTGAATGTACGAATTGACATATTTGTTAGAAGAAAAATTGCACAAAATTCAAGTAGAATAAGTTTCTCCAATATCAAAGACAGTACATTTATGTATAAAAAGCTGACATATACCATTCATATCTATATCCTATCCTATATCTACTATATGTATAGTTATAATTGAAGCCGAAAAAATATTCACTCATGTGCCACGTGGTAGGTAGCTTTGCTCTATTATTGTCACCTGGCAAGATACATGGTACAATTGTTTCACTTGGCCCATGCTCGACTAATTAGCATTAGTTAGTGGCTTGTCGTATATCTTGAAATGCATTTTTAGTAGATACATGTTGGTTTGAAAAAAAATCATGACAGTAAAATTATCAATTTAATTTGAAAATTTTATTCAGGCTGATTTGAAATTCCAAAAAATATATGAAAATAAATATCTCGAAATAAACTTTTATCTAACATATATTTAGTTTAAAGCATGAGAAATATAACTCATTATATCAATAACATAGATAATGCAAGTTATTGTGAATATAAATCATGATATCAAACTATATATAAGTAGGTAGACAGTACAAATAAATCATAGATAACTTACTCCTAATTGGAAATATAGATTAGTTCATAATGTGATTTAAATTTATTTGGTATTAGCTTAATTGAATAATTAAAATGAAATTAGTTAAAGAACAATTAGAAATAAATATTAATTAAAGAGAACGGAAATCAAGCAAAATAAAGTAAATACTTATTATTTATTTTCTAACAAGTTTTTTTGGACTCAAATCAAAACACTTGAATGTAATTCAATTGTCTTTTCAACCGACCGGTTTGCTCTTTTGGCAAGTCTTTCACATATTTTCAACATATTGGTTGATGATCAAGGATGATTTGGCATGGGAGTAGCTTAATTTTGTTGGAATCCGATCACGTGTGTCTTGAATATCTCCCGCACAGTAGGTTGTATGAAGTTGAGAAGCTTTTGTGAAATGATTAAAGCCATATCCAAGTTTCTCTCAGAGCATTAAAGGGAGCTTAAAAGAAGTGTTGATTCCGTCTGATATGCCAGCAACGGGAGGATAATCTGAGGTCATGCTCCAGCACCGTCAGCCGATAGAAAATAATTGGATTCTCAGGGAAAGAGACTCAGAGGTAGACAGTTCAGTAAACACCAAGGAACAAGATATTCCAACTGAAATAGATGTAGAGGAAAGCTGATCAACTTAACAAAGAAGATAGGATGGTCTTAATTATGGCGAGACCATGGGTTCCACTTGCACCAACTATTATATGAGTGTTGGCTTGCAAAACATGCCTGTTCGGATTGGTCACAGCTTGTTGAGGAGGTGATTCTAGAGGCAGCGAACTAGGGGGATTTGGATTCCCATGCCTTTTGTTTTTCCCTTTTTTCGTCTCTTCTAGAAATATTTAAATATTTGCTCCTTCAATAAAATTCAAAAAACTATAAAATACAGGTTTCGCATCATGCTATTTACATGGCTGAGGAACTTATTTTTCCCTCTCTTTATGATTTGTGATGCAGAGCGCATTCATCCAAAATTAAGTGAATGCTTGTCGAATGGCCTTGGTCTTCGAAGTTGCTCTGTGAAATTTGTTACATAGACCTAATCCAATTAAGAATGCCAATACTTCATACTCTCAAAGTCTGAGACAATAAATTTGTCTCAATCTAATATAATCAATATCTTTAGGAAAGTGTTGATCTAATTGTCTCAAAGATCCAAAGGTCCATACGGGGATGATTAGTGGTTTCCTCTATTGGATAGGTACGAAGTCTTATGTCATAACTGGAGGCTTCTTTGCACTGTAATGTTTTGAGCTTGTAGCAGGTTGCTCCCCTGCTTTTGTGCCATTAACAAAACCTTACTTCATTAACGGAGAAAAAAAAAGTAGATAGCATGGAGCTTTATGGTTGACCACATGATCACAAAGCTCCATTCCCCCCTCCCGCTTCTTCAACATTAATTAGACATATCACTTACATAGATTTCACAGCGAAGTGTCTTACCATGTCGATGTTAATTCCCAAGTTTCAACAACAGTTTTAAGCAGCTAAAAATCTTGTACACTGAAAGACAACTTCCACCATATTCGTGACTTTCAGATGAAGCAGCAATGTCACACACACCAATCTCTCTAGTGAAATTATTATTCTGTCTGACCAAACTGACTTTTTGAGTATCTTCATCATTGCGTTATTCTGATCTCTGCCATCATTTTCCCTATCTCTTCAACAATGCGAGGGATCCAATCATCTTTACTCCTGTCAAAACAAAAGAGCGAGAGACATATCATTTATCATGAAATATAGAGCAAGAAGTGAACAGCATAATCCGGTAAGAGGAGCATATTCACTGGGCCAAAAGTTTCTGATTTAGTTCAGTCTTTTCTAATAAAAATTGGCTTTTGTAGCAGTAAAATTTATTGGATGGCCAAAAGAAATATATTGGTCGCTTCAAATCGGAGAATGAACCAAGCATATTGAGCAGAGCAACGAAATTGAAGTTTCAATGTATGCTCTTCAGTTCATATTAACGACTTCACAGTATAACAATACTGCAATACGGTTTCCCTTTACTTATACCCAAAAAAACAAGGCAGAAATCAATGTCATAGGGTAGGTTGACTAGGTCGATGCTGGGACCTTTCCTTGGGCATTAAGCTACGCAAGTCTCAACACTTTCTCCCCCAGACAGTAGAAATTATTTCTAGGAGAAGGTGAAAGAGTTTGAAATCTTACCCATCATGCAGATGGATTCCCTTCACATTGGCAGCTTCAGAGAGAGCCTCCCTCCATTTCTTGACCGAGCGCTTCCCATACTGGATCTCATGCTCAGCCAATGCTTTCCCATAACACTGTTTCTGTTCCCTCACTTCCTCCAGTTCCACCTTATAAAATATCGGCAGCATCCGCTGTTCTCTTTTGTTTGTCCTCCTTAGGATCTGCACCAACTCCTTCAGACACCACCAAGATTCAGCGTAGTTTTCTGAGAAAACGACCACGTACATGTTAGATTGTTCAATGGCGTCCTTCAGTGCTGGTGGGAAATCCTGGGCCATCAATAAGTTCTCACTGTCCATGAAAGGTTTTCTGCGCTTCTGGACCAAGGCCCCGTACAGGCTATTAACGAAGTCCCGGACATCCTTACCCCTGAAGCTTAGGAACACATCGAACCTTGTCATTGCAGAGATCTCTCTGACGATGTTTGTGATTAATTCGGCCTCACATCTGAAATTACTAACAACAGAGACGTGGATAATATAAGCTGCCCAAGCTGTCGAATTAAATGAAGCAAGCAATAACAATTCGGTCTAAGGAGAACAGATCACAAAAATGACCAAGACCACAAATTTTAGGAGGCAATTTCATATTGCCGCTCCACATAGGCTGTGATGTTAGTGTGGAAAGAAATGCAGAGTTGTCACAGGCATCATATTTGTCTACTGCGTCCTGTTAATGAGTAGCACGAGACATTTGTTCAGCATGCATAAGGAAAACGAAATATTACTAAAAAGAAGAAAAGAACGACCAAAGGAAAGAACGACCAAAGCAAACAGCCGACATAATGTAGCCAACTATCCAAGAACAAAAGAAGCGGCGAATATAAAGAAACTGGTTAACCCTTCACGGGGTACCACAAAGGCTATAAAAGAGAAAACCAAGGATAAGGAAATTTCTTCAATTCCGAGTCCTTTTTTCTCATTTTCGAATGACAGAGGGAAACGGAAGAGGCCTTGGTATCATCCATGGAAAGACTTGCCAAAAGAAGGACCTGGTCGGTTGAAAAGACAAGTTGAAGTTCATACAAGTCTTTTGATTGAGCCAAAAAGAAAAAATTAGAGGAGAAATCCTTGAAGACGAAAATCATGTATAGAGGGTGGATGATATGTTTGGCAACAAACCTACTTACAAAGTATAATCTGATTCAGAAATGGTTATTGCGGTGAACCAACTGGCAACTCTGATTATTAGGTCAAATATTCAAAACCCAGGTACAAAAAATGTTAAAATATGTTTCGAATTTGAGGTTGTTATATGAACCGGATCCAAATTGGATTATGTAAAAGTCCAATACATGAAAGTTCAAAGGTAAATAGATTACGGAGATTATTTCCGTGTTGGAGATGCGGTCAAGAATGGAAAGTGGTATCAGCTTGGACTTTGAACTGGATAGTCTGCTTTGAACTTTCGTTATTTTTGTCCAAACAGGCCAACAAGATGCTTTTTACTTGGACTTAGCCTTACCAAGTGCAGATGGAATGATTAGATTCCCATCTAATATTTATTTGTCTCGTCTTTCTTGCGAAGCTGCACCTTGAGCAGTGGGCACATATTTTCCTTTTAGAAGCTTTTTGAAATCACCAGTAAGTAACTTCTTCTTGTTGATTGCTAATATCCATTTTTATCATTTTATAGTATCCATTTAAATGTGAAATATGTGCTATTAGCTTTTTGTGGTGATGGGTAACATTTTTATTGATGCTTTAATCTCATGTATACGTGAAATACACTTTATTGTAATAATTTCTGCAAGAATTGTGGAAACCAATGTAACATTGAAACTCCTCCTAAAGATCATTATAAAAATTATTGCAACTCTTCATTCAAAGTTTGTTCTCACCAGTTATAATGTGATAGATATTATCATCATGAATTATAAAAGTGATAGCAATTATTTTGATAGTTAATTAGTCATATTTGAGTAATTTAAAAATTTAAAGTAACGGGCCCTTTTAGGATACATTAAATTGTCTTGATGTGTAATTTTTTTAATGATTAAATTAAGAAGTTATCTCATTAGAGTTATCTTTATGTACTGAATCATGAGAATCATAACTCGAAAATACATATTTGTTTATGCAATATGAGAAGCTTTGTAATATCTATAAAAAATGATTTTTTTCCTCAATATTAAGTTAAAACTCGAAACTATTTTTTTTACACTTATTGAGATGATTCGCTAGCTTATGATAAATGGATGTCAAAAGTAGGAATAAATACATAAACTAAAAAGCAATAGATAACTCATTCCCAAAAATATGTATACCAAATTATATATAATATTAAAGTAACAGGAACTATAATAGCACATATTTAAAATCGCTTCAACTTAGTAATTTTCCATTCTTGTTTGAATTAAGTTGCTATACTTTGTTATTTTTCATTATTTCAATTTTACTTCGAGTTTATTTTGGAAGGATCAAATTATGTGAATGCAACCTAACTATGAATAAGTTACGCTGTAATTGTTCTTTATATTAAATAATTAAATCAAGTGAATTAATTATAATTTTATCAGTTAATATTACAGTTTACTTTATATTATGCTTACTTTTTATTGCGAACATTTATTTTATTATTTTCATATTACTATTTTACTTTAATAATTTTTATCTTTTAAATTTATCTTTAATTAATTTTATTATCATCGGTAAATAAAGCGAGTTTATTTGTTAATTGAATTTGATCATGTAAGAAAATAAAATATACATTTATTTAGAAACAACTTAATAAGTATCTTTTTCATTTTGCTAGATTTCCGTGCTCATTAATATATATATTTCTTTTTAATTTTTATTTATCTAATTTCATTGCAATAGTTCATTAAGCTAATACCAAATGAAGTTAAATCACATCGTGAAATCATCTGTATTTCCAATTAGGAGTAGTTTATCTCGGATTTATTTGTATTGTCTAAATGCTTATATATAGTTTGATATCATGATTTATATTCACAATAACTTGCACTATCTATGTTATTGATAATGAGTTATATTTTCCATAGTCTAAACTAAATATATGTTAATTAAAATTTTATTTCAGATATTTATTTTCGTCAATTTTTTCGTATCTCAAATCAGCATAAACAAAATTTCTAAATTAAGTTGATAATATAACTATCATGAGTTTTTTTTTTCAAGCAAATATATTTTTTAAAAATATATTTCAAGATATATGACAAATCAAAAACTAAAGCTAAAATTAGTCAAACATGGGCCAAATGAAAGAATTAGACCACGTGTCTTGCCAAGCGATAATGACAAGCAAAGTTACCTCCCACGTGGTGAACACGAGAGTGAATATTCTTTCAGCTTCAATTATAACTATCTATAGTAGATATAAGATATAGACATGGATTATGGTACTTCAGTTTTTTATGTAGTATGTACTGTCGTTGATATAAGGGAAACTTATTCTATTTGAATTTTTGTGCAATTTTTCTTCTAACAACTATCTCGATTCGCACATTTCAAAATTTTGGGTTTCGTGGATTTTTTTTATATATTTTTGTAGAATCTAATTTGTAGATTTACTATAAAAAAACGAAAATGGGCCTGGGCTAGCCAGGGCCTGGGGCCCAGGCCTACCCGTTGGCCACTACTCACTTTACCCTAAACTCAAACCCTAGTAATGCCCGCCGCCAGCCGTTGTCGCGCCTCTCGTTCTCTGCTTTTGTCCCTCCGTCCGTGACAGAGGGAAGTCTCTGCCGTCCCAGTCGCCGGAGGGTAGGGACAGCCGATCTGGGAAGAGACGGAGGGCTGAGGTGAAGCGGCTGGGGCGGCGTGGGGACGTGACCACTCGGGCGGCGGCGTGTCGAGGATCAGCGGAGGCCTGGAGAGGACGAACGCTCGCACATGGTGCTCTGTTTCGTATGCTTAAGTGTGCTCTGTGCTGTGTGTCTAATGAGAGTGTGTTCGCGCGAGAGAATCAGAGTTAGGGGCAAAATTACTACGTACCCGCCATCCAAGTGCCACCCCATCAAGCTACCGGCTTCATGGAGAGCACACTTCCACATACGGACACTCTCCCGATCCGTCGTCGACCTTTCCTGATGCATCCTCATATCTCTCCCATAAATCCCTTCCACGCGTCTCACGTCGCTTGGTTTCACTTTGAAAAACACCGGCAACACGACCAGCTGCGTCCAGTTCTTCCGGCTCATGATTTCCGTCAGCTCAAGCAAACACCATCTCGAGGAAGCAAAGTTCTCAGAGAAAATGATGATCGCGAACTCTGACTCCGCGATTGCCTTAAAAATAGCGGCAGATATCTTCCCTCCCTTCCTGGAATCATCAATCTCTTTGTAAATGAACATTCCGGTCTGGTCCAGAGCTGCGTAGAGATGTGTAAGGAAGCCATAGCGGAGGTCGGAGCCTCTGAAACACACGAACACTTGGCTCGTTCTAGGCTTGGAAGAAGAAGCCATTATTATAATCGGGAAACAGAGGAGGTTAACAATGAGCAGGGAGTTGCCCAAGGTTTGGTATTTTGTTAGAGGAAGTTTTGTTCACCATTTCATACATGAACTTTTTTCTTTCTTTTTTATCTCGCAGGTCAACAAAGAGTATTGTTAAGTCTTTTAATAATATTATTGTCTCTCTCTACTCTCACCATACTTAAGCCATAGATCAGGAAAAAATATTGGGTGAGTTTAATACTCCACGTTACCTGTACAGCACATCATTCAAAAGTCGACATCTGACAATTCAGGCTCACCTTTTGACTCCTCTGTCTCTCCGTTACTTTTTCCCTCGTCTCCTCTCTCTATTAGACACACGGACACTCCCTCTCTCCTCTCTTTCTCCCTCATCTTCTTTGCACTGTTCTGTTCACGATGTTGCTCTCTCTCTCTCTCTCTCTCCCTTCCTCTTCGCGATCGAAACCACCCATGCCTCTGTTCGCCGAAAGGCCCAATTTTTTTCTTGCGAAGAGTCAATACGAAGATGCCGGTCTACAACTTGTCGTTCGTGAACACCAAGCTGTTCAAGCCGACCTCCATCTTCATCCTCCTACTGTGGGTCGGTCGGTATATTTCACGGCTTCCTCATTATCGTCGCACTCTTCCTCCTCTCCTTCTCCCTCACCTCCCACCAGCACGACGGCGGGAAGGGCGTCGCCAAGCACCGCGCCGACCTCGATGCGCTGGCCACCACGCCCCTATCTCAAAGGAGATCCTCGAGATCGTGCCGTCCGAGGTGCCCCATGTGGCTCCGGCTCCGGAGATCCAGGTGGAGGTCCCCTCATTGGTATCAGAGCATGGTTTTATGTCTAGCTTGGTTCGTTCCATGCGCTTAGTTGGTGATTGTTCAGTGCTGCGAAGAATCCTTTCTCCTCATCATGACCGATCCAGATACAACTCCAATTGCTCTTACCGCTTCTCTCACTCCATTGTCTTCTTCTTCATCTTTAACCGAGTTTCGTACTTCACATGCTTCTACGATAGACTATCTCTATGAAGTCTCTCTTAGTGATGACACCAAGATTTCCGAAACGCAACTTCCTCTCATGAATCCATACTCAGCTTTTGCCAAACCTACTACATCTTTTTCCCCCATCAGGTCTATACGACATCTCATCCGTCAGACTGCGAAAGAGGTTAAGGAATATGTCCAGTCTTCCAAATTTGACCAACATCCAATCCCTGCCTCTGAAAAGGAGTACTTTGTTACTCTTCAAATTCCTCCTGAATTTCCCAAACAGTGGATCCAACAGGGGTATTCGCATATTCACTATGGCGCAGTCCGTCTTGCTTTTACCTTTCATGGGAGAAACAGGTTTGCCTGTCAGTAGCAAGAATGGCTCTTTTGGATACCAGGTTCCTAGAATACCAAAGCGCCCAGTATTGCAGTGCTTGTCCAAACCACTTTAAATGCTGGAACAGTTTTTGTAACCCTTTATCCAAATTTTAATATTGCCCTTTCCGATCCCCAGCTACTTTCCTTCTTGAAAGTACAACTTCAGCTTACTAGAGCTCCTCAAACTGCCGATTCTATTGCTGCAACTCTTCATTACCAAATGATGTATAGAGTCCAAAATCATGCTCTAGATCTGAATTTCCAACATGGAAATGAAGATGCACTGTTCATCTCCATGCAAAATGATCAGGCCTCTTGCATTCATGTTCCTCGGCAGATCCCAAAAAAAAAGTTAGCCAAGCTTCTTCCTGAATCTTGGATAATAAATTATGAAAAGCTCCACCAAATTAGCCAACCTCTCCAGTCCTCAGACTCCGAATTTGTCAGATAAAGAGATGGTACTGTAACCATCAAATTCCGCAAAGAGAAGGAAGAAACTCCTTCCATCTTTCCTACTATCTTTATGATAGAACCCTGTGTTCCTAATCCAGTTCCTGAGGAACCAGACCCAAAAAAGCTAATCCAATACTTCAAAAGTGACGGGCATCTTGTCCATCACTACAAAGATCCTTATGGTCATTGCTTCTGGGATCCTTTTTGCTAGTGTTCTTCATGCACAAACTCCCCAGATGAAGTAGATCCAACTACCAGGCCTAAGCGAAAAGCTAGGAAGGCCAAGGACAGCTTCTACCAAAGATATTTGGATGGAGACCCTACCATTGATACTTTTGGAGAAAATAGTGGATACCAGTTTATGGTATCATACGGACCACCATCACCCTCATCAACCTCATCATCCCCATCATTCCCATCATCACCACCATCACCTTCAGTTTTACCCCCATATAAAAAATCTGTTGTTTCCCCTTTCTACAAGCCCATTTATAAATGGGTAAAGAAAAATTCTTATCCACTTGAAATTTCAGTCTTTCCTGAAAACCCAATTACCGGACAACTTCCATTTATCTCCATGTTTAATGAAGCTGACTTTCCTCCTTTAAATCCTGTTGAAAAGTCTCAGCTTTCTTTTCCTGCTACTGAAGAATTCACTGATCCGCAACGACGATACCTTCATGCTCCAAAAATTCGTTCTCCCATTGATGTTGATGAACGTGGAAGGCCACAAAGAACGCCTGCTACTGAGGCTGTTCTAAATTGGCAGTCGAAAACTCTCCTAGCACAAAATCAGGCTTTCAAGACACTTGACTCCAAAATTATTGATGTGCAACAAGACATCCGAAGATACGACGAGTCCATAAAAAAGATGCTTGTGGATTTCCAGAAAAGACTTCATGCTCTGGAATCAGGCCAGCATCTTGGCTACCATTATCTTGAAAGTCCAAAGAATGAAATAGAGAAACTCAGAAGGCAAATCAGTTCTCCTTGAAGAAGGAAAATTTAAGCCTACTAACTTTTTCTCTATTCCGAGAATCGGATACTCTCTTCCACCACCGCAAAACTCCCCAGTTTTTGCTGCAGCTGCTCTTGTAGCCGAAACTTCTACTCAACGAGACATAAGTGATATGACAGAAATGCGCAATCGCATTCGAGAAATGGAGAAGCTCCGAAAGGAAAGAATGAAAGAAAAACCTGTTGTTGAGTCCTCTGGAGAACCTGAAAAGAGTTCTGACCAGCAGATGATGATCTCAAACCCCTTGGAATCCTTCCTGAGGGATTTAAGCAAAGATCAACAACAAAATCCAAAAGCTGATTCAGACCAACATCTACCAGAGTGCGCTTCTCAAGTAGCAAAGGTATCAAATTTGCTAAACTCAGATTCAGAATCTGACTCCCTATCCTATTCCTCTTCATCTACTTTCCCAATTCCTTCCGTTGAATCTTTCCAAGCACCACCAACTACTCCTCCGATTTTCATGGCTGATCCACCAGAACAAGAAATGGAACCAAATCCATCTGAACTAGAGGTTATCCAAATCAATAACCCATCCCATATTCCTATTTCCCCATCCAAACAGTTTTTCACTCTTGATGACACTCCTTATTCCAAATGGCCAGAAAGATTGGATGAATTCCATGCTTGGTTGAACACCAGAGCTCTTACTGTCGAAAGCAAATACGATGTTCTTCTAGAATTTGCTACAAGGTTTACTGGAAGCCTTAAACATTGGTGGCAATCAACTTCTGAAACAGATCAGATGACTTTTCTTCTTCTGCAAGACTTTTCCCAAGCCATTAGAATCATTTACCTATATTTCATAGGAAAACCTGCTGATCTTTTTGAGCTCAAAAGAAGAGAATATTTTGAAAGAAAATGTTGTTCTCTTCAAAAAAGGCACCTAGATCACCATTACAGAGAAATGCTTAAACTCTTTTATGGTCTAGGAGCTGATTCAAATCTGAAACAAGTCTTCTTAGCCTCCATTCCTAAAGAACTCTCCCAACAGGTTGAGAGATCTTTTCTTAACAAGCAAAGAAGAATTGTTGATATTCCCTTTGGAGAACTGCAACAAGAAATTCATCTTTGTCTTGATGAACTTTGCCTCCGAAGACAGATGATGAAGAACTACATCAGAGACAATCGTGAACTTGATGGTGCTTGCTCCAAACAATATTTGAAGATCAAATGTTCGAAGAAAGATTGTGACAGTTCCTACGGAGAATATTCAAAGAAAAACAAGCACTTCAAAAAGTATCGAGTGAAAAGAAACAAGCACTTCAGGAGAAGGAAGAAATGGCGATTCCTGCGGAAATGAAGAAATTCACTGGACGCAAGAAACCAAATCGTTGCTTCATTTGCAACAAGAAGGGCCACTTTGCCAAAAATTGCCCCCAGGCAAAAAAAGGTCAGAATCATCTCATTCATAATATCGAACTCGAGACAGGAATCTCTCTTGACAATGATGATATCGAATCCCTGTTCTCTGTCGATGAAAATCCCACTGACCAAACACTTTGCATCATTCCTTATTTCACCACCAGTGAAACAGACTCTGATTTAGAACCTGAAGAACTTTTCCATCTATCATCACAACTAGAAAATCTGGACCCTAGTATACATTCTAGTCAACTTCATTGTCCCCACTTCCCAGTCAAAATCTATCTCTCAAAGTTCGCCAAACTAATTTCAGTCATTGCCCTCATAGATACTGGCGCTAGTGCTTCAATCCTAGACACTAAAGTTCTCCCTGAAGAATATTGGACTTCCTGTGTTCGGCATTTCAACTCTGCTTCAGGAGACGCTTTTTCTACAAATGTTTGCACCACACCTGTGTCCATTCAGTTTTTCCCCCAGTGTTCCATTACCACCAGAATTCTTGGATCTAGTCTTCCCAATAAAGACTTGATTATTGGGTGGGATATCATGACTCAACTTCCAGACTTGAGAATCGTTCCTGGAAAAGGACTTAGGTATAAAGACCAATTCTCTGAATTCGTCAATATCCAAAGACTCTTTTCCATTCAAATGAGCTCGTTAGATCCAATCATGCAGAAACTGTTGGAATCATGCTCAGAAAATCATTCTGAATTCTCTCAAAAATGTTCTCATCCTTTATGGAAAAATCCAGAATTCTATGTTCGACTCCCCTTCAAGAAAAATGAGGATGTAAATCCTACAAAGGCAAGTCATTCGAGAATTAATCCAAAGCATTTGACTCTTGCTCAAAAAGAATGCTCAGAATTGTTACAACAAGGCCTTATTGAAACTTCAAATTCTCAATGGGCTTGTGAAGCTTTCTATGACAATAAACGTGCTGAGCAAAATCGAGGAAAAATGAGATTGGTGATCAACTACCAGCCTCTCAATCTTTTCCTCCAAGACGACAAATTCCCTTTGCCTTCTCGAAATTCCCTTTTTGCGGGAATCACTAAAGCCCATATTTACTCAAAGTTTGATCTTAAAGCCGGATTTTGGCAATTGGGCATTCATCCTGATGATAGACCAAAGACGGGATTCTGTATCCCCAACCAACACTTTCAATGGCGAGTTCTTCCATTTGGTCTCAAGGTTGCTCCTTCCTTATTCCAGAAGACTATGTGTAGCATATTCCAGCCAATCTTATCCAGTGCAGCTGTCTATATTGATGACATATTGCTCTACAGCCCAGACGAAGAATCTCACTGTCGACTTCTCGAGCAGTTTGCAGAAATTGTGAAGAAACATGGCATCATGCTTTCTCAGAAAAAGATGACCATCGCCCAGACAGAAGTTGAATTCCTAGGCATGCACCTTAACAAAGGTACATATTATCCGGGACCGCACATCGCCAAGGAATTACTAAAATTTCCTGAAAAGAATTTTACGACCCAGCAAGTTCAACAATTTCTCGGAATAATCAATTATCTTAGAGATTTTGTACCGAATATTGCAAGGTTGTTAATTCCTTTGCAACTGATGTTAAAAAAGCATCCAGTGCCATGGGAAAAGGTACAAACCAAAGCAGTTGCGGAACTCAAAGAAATTATGCAAGATCTTCCCCCTCTGCAAATCCCATCCACAGGCAAGAGAATCTTGCAGACTGATGCCAGTTTTGAATATTGGGCGGCCATATTGTTCGAAGAACTTCATGGTAAGCGACATCTTTGCGCTTACAAAAGTGACAAGTTTTCTCAGGCAGAAATGCATTATCATTCTATCTTCAAGGAAATTTTGGCAGTAAAGAATGGAATAAAAAAGTTTGAATTCCATCTTATTGGCCACCATTTTCTGGTAGAACTGGATATGGCTTCTTTTCCCCAAATGACCAAATTCAAGCAGAAGCAGATCCCTCATCCTCAGCTACTTAGATGGGCTGAATGGTTTTCAAAATACTCTTTCGAAACCAAACACATTGCAGGAAAGAAAAATGTGCTTGCAGATTTTCTCTCCAGACCAAAAGCATCGGCAGAAATCAACATGTATATTCTCAGGCATTCCTTCCCGTTCCGGGCAGACAAGTACAAGATTGAACGGTTTCGAGATTGGCCAAGCTTGGAATATCCTCAAGAGATAATTGAGCAAATTCAAAAGGATAAGCTCATTGAAAATCTTGACAATCTCATGTGGCAATGCCACACAGACCTTTTTCGCCACCATGGAGGATCTATTCTTGACTCCTCTGGATTACACTCGAGGTACCCTTTCATCCACCCATTACTTTGGAGAAAAAATGATTTTCCTGACAAACTTAAATGGCTATTATGGTATCTAACCAACAAATACGTAATAGCTATTGAGTTTCTCACCAGAAAATTTATTCTCCAATTGACCAACTTGCTTCTGGCTGATTACGTTCAACTAAATGAACACGAGAAAAACCTTTTAACTGTCCTCAAATGGTTTTACCCTCCTGTTTATTGGAAACGACTCTTTCTTGAAGAAGTGAAAAAAGTCCGAGATGATCCAGAAACACACACTGTTGTCCTCTTCCACCGTCCTTGGACTTTTGTGCATAATAATGGTACCATTTCCAATACTCCTGCCTCAGTAGGTACCACTGCCTACAAGCCTCAGTCACAACTCCAGGTTGCACGTATCTATAAATCGTTCTCCAGTCGCATTGGTTCTGTTGAATATAATTACAGGGAACTCCAAAGGATTCTATGCCAAGAAAATCGCATTATTCCAGAAGAAGCATGGGATTACTTCACACCCGTCTCATGGGATCACGAAGGATCTTCCTCTACAACAAGACGAGCACTCAGAGAATACGAGCACGAACAGGCACAGGCACAGCTCGGATTATCACAAGATCACGAAATGTCAGATATAGGAGATCCAGCACAGTCATCTCAAGATCCAGTACAGTCATCTCAGGATCCATGGGGTGGACCACTCTCTCAAGACCCCTATGACTATGGACCATTGTCCTTATCCGTTGGACTTGACGCCAGCTCTTCCTCCCACTACACACAACTAGGAAATTGGCCCCAGCCAGTTTTGCCTCAGCCAGTCTTACCTGAACCAAATTCACAACCAAACCTTCGCATCAGAATGTGGAATGACCTCCTGTTACCACAAAACACTCCAAATACTGCTTTTCCAGACCTTTCGACACATGCATCCTCTTCCTCAAACCCAGCGCCAGCCATCACTGAAGATAATTTTGAACACATTCTGATACAGAAACAGATAGCAGAATATGAACGTGCAAACAGTTCAGACAGCTCTGATTATGACTATAACTCTGGATGGAGATAAGCTTATACTATCCCACCTAACCGGCATTGTTCTAGCATATCATAGCCGGGTCCTGTTCCACCTATGAATAGGTTTTAAGTGTTCTACGAGTAAGTGTGCCAAATAATGTACTTAGTTAGGTGAGTTTTGTTTTATGTGGACAGAAGTCCAATAATGTACTCTGTTCTAGGTGTGTTTTGTCTTACCTGGACCTTCGTCCAGCATGTATTCCCCAATGCCTATATAAGGCCATGTAATCCTTCGGTTTGAAATAAGAGGGAAAGTTGTGAAATCTCAATTCTCTCACTTTTCACGCCTCTCTAAAAATCCTTTTCTTCAAAGCCTGACATGATCCTCTAAAAAAGGCAGCTCGGCCAGTTAGGCATAACATCATCCCCGGTCACTACGAGCGTCTCTATGCTCAAGCTAAATCTTCGGGTAGTTTTGCGGCTAAAAGGCGGTTCTGAAGGGCTTGAACAAGAGGTTCGCCCATGTGGAATAGCATACCTGCTGTAAGCTAACCTGATTTTTCCTGGCTCTCAGTATAGATCTCCTCATTGTTAGTCTAGCGAGAAGAGCAGGGGGACGGAGAGGAAGCAAAGGGGTCCTCAACCGAGAGAGAGATAAACGTCCGATAAATGCAAAAGCAACGGAGCAGGGGAGAGAGACAGAAGAGTCAGAAGGTGAGCCCAGATTGTCAAATGTCTGACTTTTGAATGTTGTGCTGCATGGGTGACGTGGAGTATTAAATTCGCCCAATATTTTCTCGCCAGATGGAAGGCTCGAGCGAGAAAATGGTGCCCTCTCCGTGGCAAAAAATGAGGGCCTCTCCATGCGACACGTATCGAGGAACCTCACGGAGACAACATTAGGTGGTCGGGGACTGCCAAGTTAGCGTGGTCCCACTCATGAAGCTTGTGGGGCCGGCTCGTCAGGATGAAAATTTTGCACAAAAAAATAATATTCATTAATTCTCCGTAGCCCTGCACTCTACCCCCCCTCTCGCTCCTTCTGCACGCATTTATTTCTTCTCTCTCTTCTTTTCCTTCATTTTTGCATTGAAGGAGAAAACCCACCGCTCTTCCTCTCTCTCTTTCAAATTTATTTTGAATCTCTGCGATTTCGCTCTTAAATTTCGTTCGGCTTCCTCGTTTCTTTGCCCCTGCTCCGACGAAACCAAGGTTTGGGTCCCTCGTCCTCGCTCTCTGCTTCGGCGCTCGCTCCGTCTCTGCTCTGGCGCAGCTTTCCTTCGCCCATTAATATGCTGGGGCGGCCGAGATATGTGGATCCCATTTTCACTTCATTCAGGTACGGATAATGAAACTTGCATTACTCTAATTGTTTACTTGGTTCTACATCTCTGCCCATGCCCAATCAAACACTGAGATATGTTGGAAGTTTTGATTTCTTTTACCCTTTTTTCAATCCTTTTAAGATGGAAAATTTTAATTCTGAGTTGATTGAATTTGAACTTGTTATGGCTGTATGTCGCTGGACAAGTGTGTTTTGATGGTCTCTTTCAAGTCTGGATGTGCGTTCAAGTTTTTAATTGCTCGAACATCCACTGCGCACCATGTGTTTGACAGAATGTTTGGACCAAGGTCCGATTTTGAGTCGCTTCGAATGCGTGGTGATCGGGTTCGCTTAATGATCTTTCACTAACGATTTTTGTCACCGTGGTTCAATATGCTTTTTTTATCCTTTTAGGGTCTTGTCCGGTACCTTCTCATGAACCGGGGACTGTTGAATACTGATTTTTTACGATACTTGACTGCACTTTACTGGTATTCCATTTTGTATGTTACGCATCATTTTGGAGTCATTATCGAGGGTGGGCGGTGGTCTGGTGACTTGCAGGTGGTAGGCAGTGGTGAAATTTCGCATAGTGCTTGAGATGGTGGTCCAGAAGAACGCCCAGTAGTTCTGGCCGGGCGCTTCTGGACGAACGCGTAGGGATGAGCTCAACTATAGTTCCTGACCAGCATCATCAGTCCAGCAGCCGATCCAGCCTTGGTTCTGATATGGCTGCATCTCCTTATGCAGGAAGTGAAGATAGCCATTTTCGTAGAGCAAAATAGGAATTGCAATCAATGGTCAAAAGCCATTTGAAAAGCCTTTTGAGAAAAATTGATTTAGGTATGCGAGTTATATATATGTTCTACTAGATTTTTGGTCCTATTATTATACATTTTATGCTCTAGAATCCCGTACTTGTTCTCTTTATGATGCTTTCTTTCAAGTGTTTATTGCATTTGTTTTTTCCTTGGTGCGCAAGGTGCCTTACATGTGGTGAACTTATCGATATAATCGTCGATGCAAGTCATGGTGAGTTTAAGGAAATAGCGAGGTGTTCCACTCATACTATATTGGCTGCTTGTGGCCTTGAGCACAGGAGGAGCGAGGTCTACACGATTCCTCCGCCATCCTTTTGTTCCCACATAGACAAAATGGCAACTAGACAAACAAGTCTGATGAGAGGAGTTTGCTCAACATGTTTTGATGTTTTCGTCAGAGATGTAACCCAAAACATAATGTATACAGGACTACCACCGCGTTGGTTAAGTTTAGGTCTTTACGAATTGATAAACATGGCCTGCCATTTTTTGCATGCCCATCCTTCTTTTTGGGGAGATTTAGATGAGAAGTAGGGGGATTTTTGTCCATACTGATAACTATTCGTGATCCCAAGAGGATCCATTTTTCTGTGATTACATCGGTGATATTTATTTTTTGGTTGAAGGGTCCTATTTTTGGAAGAGGTGGGTTAATCAGGGTGCACATGTCAACTTGCCAAATAGTGATAATTTATGTTCTTTTGTTCTCAAAATCAGTTTTGAAACAGAAATCTGTTTGGTAAACCTTTTGTTCCCGGGCACAAATTTGCAAAAAATTGTTCTTAGAATCAGTTTTAGATTTAGAACAGAATCAAGAGGTAAAAAAAAGTAACTTCTTGATTCTGGGAACAAGAATCAGAATTGGAAAAGAAATTTTTTTTTTCCTTCTTTCTTGCTCACTGTTCTTCTTCTTCAGCTCTTCTTGCTTGGCAAGCCATCGACCACTAGCGACTGGCAACATAGGCGAGGGCTGAACCCTGGCAGCCTGGGCGAGGGCCGCCAGCGATGAGGGTGGCCCTCGTCGGCCTTTTCCAGCCCTCGAGACTGGCAACATAGGCGAGGGCCGCCCTCGCTGAATCTGGCTAGGGCGGCAGCGAAAATCCAGCCCTCTCCAACCTTTTCCAGCGGCGAGGGCAACCCTCGCCTGTGGTCGGCAAGGGCCACGACGCCCTGGCCTGTGGCTGGTCGTCGGCCATGGCCAAGGAGGAGAGAAAAAAAAGAAAGAAATGTTAAAATATTTAAAAATATTATTAATAAAAAAGAAATTTTGTGCTGCTACTAAATGCATTTATATTCTTTTTTTATTACAGGAATGGAAATTTTGGGCCATTACCAAACGCTTTTAAATATTCAGAATCAGTTCTCGAGTGCAAAATTAAAAAGAACCATTTCTGAGCAAAATCAGTTCTCAAGTACAAAAATTTTGCCATGCACACCCTCACTCTCAATAGTACTTCCTTTTTCTTCCCAGGCGGTTCTCTCTCTTGTCCATCTAATTCAATTGCATAGGAGTGGCTAACTCACTTCTTAGAGAGTAAATTCGGACTTGAACCTAGTCAAAAGTTTTAATGTGGTATGGAATGTTCTCGTTCCTATGCACTGTGATTTGGTCTTATTTTGGTCATTGGAAACATAGGAAAATATCATCAAGCGAGACTAGCATTGACTGATGATAACTTTCCACTTGAATGAATATAACAATGCCTGAATGCGATGCCTGGTGTCGTGAAAATCCTACCCCCACTCCATTCCTATTACTTCCAAGTCCTAACTACAGTAAAATTTGGCAATTCTCACTCAATATTCCTTGCTTTTTTGACAATGCTTTGATACGTTTATGAATAATACATGGTACATAGACGTAAAGAAAAGTTCTTCAATATCGTTACTTTTGAGAGGTCCAAGCATCACACAGGAGCTATGCACAGCATTGTTTCCTCATGTCAAAACCGAAGTCGACAAGCAAAGAATTACATTTTAGCTTATAAACCTTATTCCCTTGCTTCCTATTTTAATACATTAGCAAACAACACATTCCCCCCAAGCCAACCATAAAGATTGTAGGGCTGGATTCTCAATCACGTAAGCTCTAGATCACCCGCCATTCTTCACCTACTCATAAATTATCGTCGATGACGGTGGATCATAATAGCTCAGACACAAATTCACATCTTTTTGCCCTCTCTTCATGACCCTTGTCCAACAAAGGCGATGCTTGACTGTGGCTGGCACCAACAAAAGGCGCATATTAGAAACAAGAACACCACCCTTACAAGATAAGTGATGAAATGTTCCACCAAAACGTTGAGATTGTTACGCTAAGGCCTTTAACAGCAAAGCAAATTCACCATGGAATTCAGCCTATCTCTAACAGTAGTAAGAAATTGAAACATTCATGCTTTGCTTGTCATTAACACAAAAGATGCAGCCGGAAAAAAAAAAAAAAATCTCACCGCAATACTCACCCCGTCCAACATGGCCATCAAAATGCTCACTCCAACCAAGCAAATGCTTTCTAGCATTTTTCTTCCAGGCTTGTTCAAATTGAGGCAGCTCATCTAGATAGTCATGAGCTATATGAATGAACCATTTTTGGGAATCCGGCATTTAACAAACAAGAAAATTCAATACCTTCATTTAGGTTGTGTAGAGTCTGCATTATATCCACCTTACCATCAGAATTAAGCTTCCCAGTAATAGCATGCCCCTGCAGTAAGTATTGCTTCGAGTGTTGGATGACCAACACCCCATCAGAAGTGTTGGGGTGTTGGTCATCTCTCGAATATGCCTTTTACATAAACCATTCCCTTCTCACTGAGCTAAAGCTCCTTCCTCATCTGCTCAACAATCTCGGATAGCGTTTGTCTTCCGCCACTATCATCTTTACCTTAATTTGCTCCTTCCACAGTGGCCGCATCCAATAGTGCGCTCCACTGCAAAATATCATATCAAGGGTTCAGCATATTCACAGATGATTTTTGCTCTTCAGAAATGAGTAACACTAGAAATCGGACTCTTCAAGGAAAAACAATCTTCACTTATGCTAAAGGGCTCAATGCAATGATCCAAAACCAGTTGTTTCCAATGCCGAAGCAGGTTTGTAAGAACAAGGCCAACGCTAGTGAGGCTAATGCGGGAGCGGAATGTCGGCAATGCCGCTTGCCCTTGGCTCAGAGTCATCATCCCTTCGAACCTTCAAACGAGAGCACGAAGCAAATTAACTAGCAGCCCCTTTAGAACAGAGCATCATGCTTGGGTTTGTTTTCATTTGCAGTAACAATGGTGGCAAAAAACCAGAAGGGGACTCCCTCTCCCCCTTCATTTTGTACCGAACCCACCACCACCAAAGAGAAAAGTAAAAGAAAAAGACCGATCAAAACCGCTCTAATTGGGCACACAAAAAAATGGATCGACGAAGAATCCAGCCGAGGGGGAAGAGGAGAAGAGGGAACCTTGCTTGTGGCTGGCGCCTTTCTCGACGGTATGGCACTGAGCAGAGAGCGAAAGATCGCCGGAGCAGCAACAACGCCATGGAGGGAGCGGTGGAGCAACGAGGAAGCCGAGCGAAATCGCAGAGATTCAAAATAAATTTGAAAGCGAGAGAGGAAAGAGTGATGGGTTTTCTTCTTCAATGCGAAAACGAAGGAGAAGAAGAGAGAGAAGAAATAAATGCGTGCAGAGGACAGAGAGAGAGGGGCTAGCGTGCAGGGCTAAGGAGAAATAATGAATATTATTTTTTTTGTGCAAAATTTTCATCCCGGTGAGCCGGCCCCACAAGCGCCACGTGGTCCACGTGGCGCTTCATGAGTGGTCCGGGATCACACTGACTTGGCGGTCCCGGATCACCTAATATTTTCTTCGCGGTCAAACACTTTTAATTTTCAAAATAAAGTCCCTCTCTCATCGTCGGCACCCTCGCGCCCCAACTCTCACAGCCCCAGGCGCGCGCTCTGCTCTCTCCCGACTCACGCGACCCTTCCGACTTACGACCTAGCTCTCCTCCTACGAACCACGCCGCCGCCGCCTCCACCGTCCGACGAACCACGCCTCCGCCTCTGCCTACGCCTCCGCCTCCGCCTCGAAAGGTAAAGATTTTCCAATCATTTTTGCATTCGTTTGTAATTTTGGGGATATATTATTTTGAAGGTTTTTTTTTTCTCTTTACAGTGACGAATCTGCTCTCTCCGTCCAACGAGCCATGCCGCCGCACCGCCGCTCATCTCCGGACGATGCTAGGGTTTCGGCGAAGAAGAGGACTAGAGAGTGTGTGGACGACCCACAAGAGTTCAATTTCCAAACTCATTGAGGTTTGATGAGTTCAAGCCTTCTGAATGTTCGCTGAATCGTGGGCAGGCCGTGCATTTTCTTTCTAAGCGCATCGTGCCTCTGAACCAAGCCTGCAGGGTTTTTCCATTGGAGGAGGTAACGACCCTTCATCATCTTTCGTGCTTTTCTGTCGTTACAACTTCGTTTTTTGCCGCTTCAGAGCATGTTCTTCGTGTAATTACTTTTCCTATTTGAATATTCTTGACTTCCTAGTCCGGCCATCGTTTGCTTTTGCTTATTTTGGAACAAGGTTCTTCTTATTAGAGATTTGATGATGTTATGATTGAAGCGAAATAAAACTGTTGTGTCTGTGGTGCAAGGTGTTTGCTATTTGATTTTGGAAGAGCTGGTCTTACTGTCCAATCCTGACGGTGAACGATTTCGATAGTTGGTTTTGAAACTTGCTGCAATTCTCGTGTGATCTCAGTTGCAGGGTAGCCAATTGTAGGAAGATGTCGCGAACAGCGTGACTTACTCGAGTGAACACAATCTAATAGGACTCTAGCATTTTCTTGTACTATTTGGCGGGGAAGGTTTTTTTTCTTTTTCACTTCAAATGGAATACCCCTTTTCTTCCAAAGAGAAGGGTATGTGTTACTGGATTCCTCCAGGAGTGCAGGGGGACAGCTCTGCTTCTTTGGATAATGGCACAAGAAATTCGATCTTGGAGGATCCTTTTTGGAACTTTGCTGAGCTGATGAATTTTGATGGTTATGCTGGATTATGCAACAGTCCATCTACAGCAGAGCAGATATGACGCAGAGAGAAGCGTAAATTTGGAACAACTCCAAAGAACTCGAAATTTTTATTCAATAATAATGTGTTCTTGATTACAAGATGGACATCTTATATATAGAGATAGGACTCCTAATACTAATGGAAACCGAATAATTAAAGAAACTGCCTAAATGGTAATTGTCACGCCCCGAACCCCAACGGGCTCGCGACACCCCTTCCACGGTCGTATTGAACGCGACGTCTCAGGACGCGTCGCCGACCCAAACGAAACACCCAACAATAAAGGCAAACGGAAGCGAAATTAATTAACCCAGACAATAAACAATAACAAAGGGATAGCACGCAACAGTAATTGCATACATCATAAATCAGTCACTATTACAAAACAATAACCCAGTCTACCAAATTTAAAGCCACAATTTTCAAAAGGGGGCGGTGGTTGACAAACTTATCTCCTCTACAAAAGATACTCAAAAGACAGGGTAAATGATCTATCTTTCAATTCCTGTGGAGCTCTGGCGGCATCTCCGAATCGATCACGGTCGCGGATCTGAAATGGTTATATAATAACCGTGAGAACGAGTCTCAATAAGCAACCCCCTATACCCCACGTAGGCCAATGCGTACCCAGACAAGTCGTACATGCAATCTACCCCATAATATATAAAATTCGCATCATTGTACTTACCTCGTCATCAAGCCCATGCCAACTCTACACGTTAGTCACAACGTGATAATACAATAATAGTAATTAAATAGCACATCACAACCGCTCAAACACCAACCACACTTGCACTCAATCAATCCAACTAATTCAACCAGCCAATTCAATCACACGCTCAACCAGCCAATTCAATCACACTCACTTCCGCATGCGTGGCCGAACATCTTTCTCACGACCCGCGCCATCGCGCCTCGGGTCCATTCTCACCGCCCGCGCCATCGCGCCCCGGGCCCACTTGGCACACCGGCCATTCATGCTTTCACACGGACCGCCGTCAACACGTCCCAAGTCCGTAGCCCTCCGATCAATCCGGGCTCAATTTCCAATGACCGACGTAAATACGTCCCGGTCCAACACACCTCTAACGGGCCACCGTCAACACGTCTCAAGCCCGCATCCATTTGGCACACCGGCCATTCATGCCTTCACACGGACCGCCGTCAACACGTCCCAAGTCCGTAGCCCTCCGATCAATCCGGGCTTATAATCGACAGGCATGCACACGCCATTCAATTCAATCAATTTCACGCCAATTGCATTAAACCATTCATATTCACAACTCACCACGTCAATCCACAAACCCGACGTTCAAGTCGGCCACGTACGATCACCCAAATCATGCACATCATTTTATCCAATCCAATTAGCACAATTATATCATAATATAATTAAATTAAATCACGCTCTAACCGTTCTAAACCCGAGACAAGTCATAAAATACCCAAAGTACTAGGTAGGGTTTAGGAAGTCACTTACTTCAATTTGGCTCGGGAAAAACCCGCACGGGCTCAAAAACGGGCCGGATGAACAATACCGAATGAACAAGAACGGGCCCCGATGAACAAGTGTTCGGAATCAACGATAATGGGCCCGATGAACAAGATACTTTAATGAACAAGTAATGGGCCCGGATGAACAAACCCCACCCCCGGAATGAACAGTGGCGGGCCCCGGATGAACAGTACCCCGGAATGAACAAAGTGACGCCCCTCCGAACCGTACGAGCAAGGGTGCGGGCTCGGCCACGGCCCGGGCACGCCGGCTGGCCGGGCGGGGTCGCCGGGCTAGGTGGTGGTAGACAGGGCAAGACGGCGGCGGGCAGTACGGCGGCGCGGCGGCTGGTCGAGCGGCGCGGGGAGCCCAAACGGGGAAGGCGTCGGGGAGGAAGAACAACGAGGAAGAAAGGTGGTGGCGGCCAGGGGAGCGACGGTCGGCGGAAGTGGGCGGGGAAAGGCCGGGTGGCGGAGGCCGAGCGGCGGCGGCGGAACGACGGCACGCGGTGGCGGCGAAGGCCCGGGAGCGGCCGGGAAGGCGTCGGGGAAGAGAGAAACGAGGGGAAGGGGGTCGCGCGGCGGCGGAGGTGGCACGGCGGTGTCTCGGGTGGCGGGCGACGGAGGACAGGCCGAGCGGACGGGCCGGGCAACGCCGGACCACGGCGGACGCGGCGGCAAGCTACTGCTCGCGTGCAGCGTGGACAGGGCCGGCGACAGGCGGACAAGGCCGACGAGCGGCGGTCGCGGGCGACGAGCGGCGGCACAGCTCGGTCGGGCGACGGCGGCGCAGCGACGGCGACGGGGCTGGAGGCGAGCTCGGTCGGCGTCGGCTGGTGCGAGCAGAAGCAGAAACGATCGAGCGGCGAAGGAGGAGGAAGAAGAAGAAGAAAGAAGGAAGAAGAAAAAGAAAAAAAAAGAAGAGAGAGAAGGAGAAGGGATGGGTCGACAGGGGGCAAACGTGCGTAAGGGGAAAAGGTGACCGGGGGAGAGAGAGAGAGAGAGAGAGAGAGAGAGAGAGAGAGAGAACGTGCGCGGTCGGAAGGGGAACGTGCGCGCGGAGGAGAGAGGAGAGAGGAGAGAGAAAAACAATAAAAAAATTAACTTCAATCAAATATTAAATGCGATCCGATGACCCAAATTCAAAATCGAAAGCGATCTACCGGTCCAAAATAAGCCTCGCATATAAAAAGGGACAAAGGCCGAATTAATTAAATCAAACTATATCGAGGGATGTCTACTAGTCCAAATTCGCACCCGGTCAAAAACTCCCCTTTTTCCATTATTCCTGACAATCTCAATGCAGGCTACGATAATATTGACACCGTCCAATTTATTTCGTCCTGAAACTCCCGAAAATCGACTGTCAAGTTCGGGGTCTAAATAACGGCCAAATTCGATCGAGCGC